GTTTCTGGGTGTTACCCTTTAGGTTAGTGTTCGAACTAGGCTTAAGTAGGTGTTTGAGAGGATGTCCAGAAGTGTTGAGAATATTTAAGCCATTAACAAATCACCTCCAAGACGCCTATACTCTAATGGGTAAAGGTCTGTTGAGTGGAGTCGCTCTTCGTATGGTTTAAATTTGAGTCCTCGAACTGATTTCGTGGCTCGCCGTTGGATACGCTCCAAAGTGTCCTTATCCTTTGGGAGTGAGGGGAAGTACTATGTTTCCATACTCTACGTAGGGACGGACAAAACTATTGGAGATTATGTGAAAAGTTCTTCCGTCGAACTGTCCAAAAATGCGCTACAACTTTACCAGTGCAAGGTTTGCTCGGAAGGCATTTTTGTCACAGTTAGCATAAGACTATAAATCGTAGGGCACCAGGACTCCTAAACCTTTTTCGACTTGGGATACTACCAGAGAGGAGTTTCCCAGGTTATAACTGTAGTTTGCGACATATCACAGATGGACTACTTTACACTTTGAAGTGTTAAAAGTAAGTCCATTAGTATCTGCCAAACTTTGAAGTCGAGTCAGATCCTCTTGAAGTGCTAGTATATCGCCTTGATTGCGTATCTCTCTTCAAAGTTTAACATCATCGACAAAGTGTAATTATTCTGACGTTACCTGTTGAGAAAGATCATTTATGTAGATCAAGAAGAGAAGGGGTCCTGGTACTGAGCCCTGGGGGACCCCACTAGGATATTCCATAGCCTGAGATAAAGTGAAATTAACCCTAACCTTAAAGTGTCGATTTTTTAGGTATGGAGTAAGCCAATCGATTAGAGGTGGTCTGATACCTAGTCTTTTGAGATTATTGATACGACATAGATGGTTAACCTTATCAAAAGCCTTTGAGAAATCTAGGTAGATTATGTCAATCTTTCCCTTGCGATGCTTGTCCATCTGTCCACCTCAGTCATCAGGTTGATTATACAAGAGTAACCCTTCCCGAAACCATTCTGTTGGGGTGAGAAGAAATTTAAGGACAGTAAATAGTCATGTATACCATCGCACATCAGGGACTCCATGATTTTTGAAGTTACCGAGAGCAGAGCCACCGGTCGGTAACTTGAAAGTTTGCTGCGCCGACCTCCTTTGAAAATTGGTGTGATGTGAGCCAGCCTCCAATTTTCCGGTAGTTTGCCACGGCCTAGCGAGTGTGAGAACATCACGCTAAGCGGCATTGCTAGTTGAGGCTGCTTACCTCAGTATGGCGGAATGGGCCATGTCCGGGCCAGGAGAAGTGTCTAGTCTTAAGTGCTGCAGTTTCCGGAACGCCAAGTCAGCGCTTAGGTCTACTTCGGAAAGTCCTGTGGAGTTGCAGATGAAACTGTCGTCAGTAAAGTTGATGTCAGCCGGTTGAAATGTTTGAGAGTAATGTGCCGCCAGAAGGTTAGCGGCGTCGCCATCGTTGTTGGTCGGGCCGTTAAGACCTAGCAGTTGGGAAACTCCTGTTTTGGCTTGACGAAGAGAGGCTGCATAACGGAATAGGCTTCTAGGGTTAGAGGCGAATTTGTCCATAAGCTTTGTCTGGTACTGAAGCCTGTCTTCTCTTATAGCCTTCGTGCATGTGTTCCTGATATGTTTATATTGCCTATACGCTCCATCGTTATTAGTTCGTTTGTATTCCGCCCAACAGTGCCTTTTGCGGCTTAGCAGGCGAAGGGTACGGTTCTTGATTACTGTAGGTGGCTTGCAGCTTTTGGGAACCGTTTGAGGAACTGAATGGTTTGTAGCACATAAGAGCGTGTGCAGTAAGAAGTCCCAATGACCATCCACATCGAGTTGAGGGTGAACATCCCAAACCACCTGTTGTAGATAGTCATGTAGAGCTGGCACATTCAGCCGTTTAAAATTCCAACGCAAATTATTGTTGGGATACCTTAGCTTAGTTTTGATGACAAAACTGAAGGCTATGACGGCATGATCGCTTTTTCCAAGAGGAGCCAGGATTGAGAGGTTGTCAACTAGGAATTCTTCGTTCGTGAATACACAGTCTAAGCGCGATGGTGTCTGACTGTTTCTCCAACGAGTTGCCGACCTCACATTTTCATATAAGCCCAAGTCATCGATGAGGTTGAAGAACCGAGCTTCAATTGAGTTGTCGCCTCCAGTGTACGTGTGTTCCGCGAAGTTGACTCTAGGGAGATTAAAGTCCCCTAGAATCAGGATGTGTGTGAAACCGAGACGGATAGAGCGGGATAGTCCTTCCAGCATACGACTATCGTACTCGATGTCGGCAGTTGGCTTCCTGTAAATGACTCCGACTAGACACCTCGAAGTACTAGACAATCTTACAGAGCACCATATGGATTCCTCAAGATTGTTAAACTCGAGGTTGTGAACTTGGTGCACCTCCAAGCAAGAGCTTATGTATATGGCTACTCCGCCCCCAATTCCTGTTTTTCTGTCGTTGCGGAACAAAGTCATCCCAGGTAATGCTAACTCTTGGTCCGAGAACTGAGAAGATATCCAGGTTTCAGATATTCCTATCAGATGGGCCTTATTAGCGTTGCTAAGTTCACGTAGTTCATCCAGTTTGTTTGGTAGACTCGCGGCGTTCATATATAAGCAGTTTATGCTTTCAATTTGGAACGCGTGAGCTTCGTCCTGTTTTTCTGTATGAGCCTTACGTGAATGGACAGGTAGCCCACCTATATGAGGTTTGCCGAGGTGTAGGCCCTTGTCTTTCAGACGTTTTTTTTATCATCTAGACAGTCCACAAGTGAAATGGTCAGCTCCATCTTGCCTTTCTGTTTGGTCCTAGCTTCGTATGGCCTATCCGGGGCATGTGGATTCCAGGTGGCAATCGACGTCTGTTTGCACGAAATGCTTCCAGAGTTCCAGCCGCCATGTGGGAGGATGAGAAGGTTATCTTCATTAGACGGGGTCTAGGATCACGATCCTTCTTGGCTAGTCTCGTCACATGCTGAGTCAGTATGTTTTTGAGTCTCAAGGACTGTTTGATGAATTTCCATTCCCTGATGTCAGAATTTGATGTAGGGTCTGCATTTTCCGGTATACCTTGGACAATTATGTTTCTTCCGCGGAAAAACTTCTCGCGAGATTCTTTAGGGACGTTTCGTATGATATTGCGCTCAGAGTACGGTATGTCGGGCAGTATTCTTACGTTACCATCGGATTTCAGCAAGTGACTTGCTAGCAAGACGTCCTCTACGTCGGTAGCATTCTTAAGTGTTACTCGGAGAAGCCTCGGGTGATTTAGATGCTTAGAATCCTTTCCTCGAGTGAGCCGGGTGACCGTCAAAGGCTCTATTCTAGGAAGTTCGAGCTTCTTGTTCAGTTCACTCCAGAGCATCCTATCATTTTTGTCCTGCAGACTGGGAGGAAGGTCAGGATTGTCAATGAGGTTCATGATTATGAGAGAATCGTCACGAAGTTTTGTTTATTTACCAGGTTTCCCGATAGGTTCAGGTTTAATACCTTGTTGTTTGGAGGTCAAGGCACGTTTTTGAATCTTGGGCTCTTTGATGACCGGACAAACATTCTTTGGGGTAGACTGTGCGACCAAAACACCAGTTGTTTTCCGTACAACGACATTTGGGATGCTCAGCTTAGGCGGTAACACCTGGTTCTTTTGGGCTCTGCTAAGGTGGGTAGAATCACCTACAGGGTTTTCGGAAACCACTATTTTGTTCAGAGACCCTGAGCTGGGAGACCCGAGTTCACTTAGGGAGTCTAATACCATGGTGCTGAGCTTCAACACGTCATCGTTAGTGCTAATGGATGCTCCATCGATGGTATACCTATCGACATCCCTAATCTTGTGTTCATTGTGCGCTCTTGTTTGTTTACCCGTTTTTTTACTGTCGTTATCCAAGTTTGCTGACAAATTGTTCCGCAGACGTGACAGTAGGACGATAATGTTACTCAGCAAGACTACAGCGGCCGTGCTGCACGTGATACATAACCACTTTTGGTCCGACTTGCTGAGTCTGTTGTAAGCAGTTTCCGTCAGATCTGTGCACGCTTTGTGAAACCAACCTTTGCAGTTGTCGCACTGCGTGCCGGTTGTAACAGCGAAACGGCATCTCGGACGTTTGCATGAGTTTTTCATGACTATGTTGAAGCAAACTGTGATATAGATGCTTACAAAAGCCCAAGACCGTAAGAATACTAAAAAGCACATTGAAAACTGACAAAAATGGATAAAAACGAGTGAGATAAATTGAATTAGTATTTACGTGAAAAACAAAAAACCCGAATAGTTAACCGCAGTTAACTATTAAATATGGTGAAACTAAAAAAGTAATCTACGGAACGTATAGCTCAGGATAGATTCTTTAGAACTGAAATGGTACTTTTGTTGCGTAAGAACACAGGAAAAGTTTGATAAATGCAAATCACGTTAGGACTAAACTTCCCAGCTCGTTCGACTCGTTCGAAGTAAAGACCGGAGTCAGACAAGGTTTCATACTCTTACTCTTTCTCTTTTCCTGGTGATCGACTATATAACGAAGATGTTAGCATCTGGAGGGAAGCATGGGATATAATAGACGGCTAGGATACAGCCGGACGACCTAGACTTCGCAGATGAACTGGCTCTTCTATCGCACACGCGACAATAAATGCAGGAGAAAACTACCAGTGTAGCAGAAGTTGGTCTCAACGTACACAAAAAAAGAAATATTCTCCGATACAATACAACATGCACCAATCAAATCATATTTGACAGAGAAGCCTTGGAAGATGTAAAAACCCCAAAATATCTGTACAGCATCATTGATGAACTCGTTGGATCCGATGCAGATATGAAGGTGTGGATCGGTGAAGAAAGATCAGCATATTTACAACTGGAGAACATCTAGCTACCACAGTTGAATACTGACGAATACATGGAACTGAACCGAAATAATAATAAAAAGGCACAATGAACTCAATTAATTAGCAGAAGCTTGTGGGAAAGATATTGCTAATTGAAGTTTGGAGCGCTAGTCGCAATATGTGTGCTACACGATCTGCTGTTCGTGAATCTGATTCAGACTCGAGGGATTTCAGAATTTTCAGTGTCAAGAGACTTTCATACTTTAAGATACCATCGGAATTTAGAGTAAGTTTGCGAGCAGTATCACATCTTCTAGGAGGGCAGATGTCGTAGTGTTGCTGAATTTGAAAAGCTAAACCGTATAGGTGAAGGGACATATGGTATTGTCTGTAAGTATGACAATTTAGCTAATAACTTAGACCGTGCTCGTGATACTGTATCAAAAGAGGTTGTGGCTCTGAAGAAAGTTCGAATGGAAAATGTTCGAGATGGCAAGTTTTCCTCACTCTTGAGTTATGTACAACAGGTATCCCTATTAGCAGTTTGCGCGAAATCACTTTGTTGCTAAGTATAAAGCACCCGAATGTTGTTCACTTGAGAGAAGTCGTTGTTGGGAGGAGCTTAGACAGGTATGTTCTAGTGATATCGATCATTTTCAGCATCTTCCTTGTTATGGAGTATTGTGAACAGGATATGGCAAGTTACTTGATAACATGCCTAATCCTTTCACCGAGTCTCAGGTAACATGTGGTTAAAATCCTAATTTGTACTGTAGGTTAAATGCATTATGCTTCAGATTTTCAAAGGTCTGAGATATCTTCATGAAAACTTTATAATCCACAGGGACTTAAAAGTCTCCAACCTGTTAATGAATGACAAGGGTCTTGTAAAAATAGCGGACTTTGGACTGTCACGCCCTACTCATTCCCATAATCCCATGACTCCTTGCGTTGTTACATTATGGTGAGAAGATTCACTTCAGATTTTTCGTGTATTTTTATCAATAAGACTTATTTGCGTTCTCATACTAAGATCCAGCTATAGGACAGTTGATGTTTTCACTAAGTTTACGTAGTTGTTACGGAAATGACTGACAATCGCAAAGACAAATGACTGGGGTAGCTTCATATTATTAACGATCTGGCTTAAATTGGTTATCAGTAGACAGGAAAATCGCCTGGTTTGAGACTAATGTGAGAATATCCGCCAAGTATTTCAATCCCAGTTGACACACTCAACTAAAACACGTCATATCTCAGGAATCACTTAACGCTCTTACAGTTTTTTCCTGCAATCAGGATTATGGCAAGTTAACGAAAACTCAATTGCACGGATCAATATGGTTTCATTATTTCAGTCTTTAGTAATAACAATGCTAGGTCGCTTTACCTGTGTTCATCCCTCCAACTTGTCTTCAAGTGGAAAACCAGCCTCTCCGTAAAACCGTTCATTGATCGAGTCGATACCACTTGTTCGAGTAGGATATTTCAGTCACTGACTGCTCGATAAGAACAAAATCCAACTCTGAGTTTATTCAGCTGCCGTTTACGAAACTTTGCAATTGCCCAGATGATTGGTCCCGTCGGAAACAAAAGCTAAGACATGTTAACACAGAAATCATTATTTAAGATACGGAGCGTCAATATGAGGTTGTATCGAGTTCTACAATAAAATAAGGGTTAAAGGTCTAAACGTCTTAAACGCTCATCACAGGAGAGTTTAGAATGATCAGTCACTAACTTAATTCTCACACGTTAAATGCTCGAGTATGATTACTTACTTACCTATGCCTGTTATTCCCAATGGAGCATAGGCCGCCGACCAGCATTCTACAACCCACTCTGTCCTGGGCCTTCCTTTCTAGTTCTATCCAATTGTTGTTCATTCTTCTCATGTCTGTCTCCATTTCTCGGCTTAATATGTTCTTTGGTCTTCCTCTTTTCCTTTAACTTTGAGGATTCCAAGTGGGGGCTTGCGGGTAGGTGCTTTCCTCAATGTGTGTCCTATCCACTGAGTGTGATAGGATTCCTAATATGAGCAGGACTTCCTACTTGGCTGCAATTCTCTGAGTGAGACCTCATAGTCCAAATATAAAACCCGAAATATGTCTTCATCAAGGCACTAGAATACTAGATGAAATGACCATAACGTTCAAAATCTTTTGCTGCAATTGTTCTCGATACACAACTTACTACTACTATTTTTTCTGCATTAATGAAAGCGAAGTGCCGTTTGTAGTATACTAGTAACCAATGCCGTGTCCAGTGTACACTAGCACGCTTTCTAAAACTAATTTCCAAACCTGGACTTTGGGATTATGAAACCTATCCGTCTAGATCAGTTTGGAAATCAAAATAACGAGTTTGACTACTTATTTTCCTCTGGACTTTAACATCATCTGCAAACAAGTGTAGATGACTTAAGCAGTCTTGGTGATTCGATGTAGAGTAGAAAAATAAGGGAGCTAGGATTGTCCTATGTGACACTCCTGCGTTGCTCAGCCGTTGACAGATTATATGATTCTACGTGAGTTGGTAACTTAACACAAATTATTTTCCTAAACATCTTACTACTGTGTAATGTAAGAAAACAATTGTTTTTGTCAAGTATGGCCATCGTGCACCAACTGTCTTTCTTAAGTAACGAGTCATTTAGCTATAGTTATTTGATGTATTTTCCGGCTTTTACGTTGACCATGGGGTGTACGGTGTTTGTACGGCCTCGAATATGGATTTAAAATCACTATTCGTTTTCATTCTACTTATCTACATTGACTGATCAATTTATTGAGACCACACACTCTCCGATTGCCTGAATGTTGGCTAGCCAGATATTGGGATGATGTACAGTAGTTTCATACTGTACATTATTTCCGAAACTTGAATTACAATACAAGGTGATCGCTGTTTGCCGGTGGGGTTAGGTACTTAACGTCGGTAACATCATATGTGTGGTATGAAAAAAATTCCAACTACGACGATTCATATTCTAAGCCAATATATGTCGCTTTTGCGATACACTATACAAGTACGCACTAAATAATTGTTGATAGTGGGCTGCCGTTCAAAAATTCACCTGAATCTATAAGCTCTATCCAAATAATATGTGGCGCGTTGAAATTCCCAACGATAAGATAGCAACCAACCTTACTCAATGTCTATATATGAGTTAGGGAAAAGCCAGTATATTTAGGTCGGACGATTTACTCCTAGGACTACAAGCGTTTGTGTACACACATCTAAGGTGTTTGGAGAATCACGCCTATCTAGGTCTCGGAAGCATTGTCTTTTAAGACAACTACCCGTAAACCTAAATTTCAAGGTTTGTTTTACTTTCGAGTTTTCAACTCAGTAACAGCAGTCCTCAAGTGATCAATATGACGAAATACTAATATTCAAGTAACGGATTTTGTATGCGTTATTTGGTACCAATTCTCTTTCCTTGTTATTTCCGAGTACTGACTTTAATGTCCTCTTTTGGTTGGGCATCGCCTCCAACCTATTTAACGAGTCTTTTACAATAGTTATTTGTACTCCCGAAACCTCTTCTGGCAGTGCGTTTCTGATAGCAGATTATGCGCATACCTTCTAGCAGACTCATTGTTTTTTGACTTCAGATTCCAAATAATTAAACTCGAGACGGACTTGACTTCATTGAATGTCATATTCACGGCTATCATTCGTGTTTCAACCGTTCTCTCCTAACTACGTATCGGAAGCTTTTCTTTAATTTTCCTTTTTGTTTTGACTTTTGGAGTAGTACATTCATTTATAATATCCAATTTGCCTTGGGAGAGATTTTTGCTCCCTACGAATCTTATGGTTGCATTTACCTCATCAGCAGTGTTTGTGGTAAGCGCACTGTCGATGAGTGGTAGTTACGTTTTCTTGACAGTGCTAGGTTTTTAGAGATTGTGCTTGATCGTAGTTTGGACAAAGGTTTTATCTCCTTCTGGCGTGTCGAAAATGGTAGTCTCAGCCTTTACATCAGGAATAAGAGGTTAGCCAACAACACTAACTTTTGCATTTGTAGATTCCTTGTTGTCCGATGTCAGACTTAGTAAGCAAGCATCATCGCTTGGCGTATTCGTCAGAATGAGAAGCTCCAAGATTTCATCTAGGAGAATCGCCTTAGTTAAGCAACGTTCTCTACATAACCAAAGTAAAGCCAGTATGCTGGAACGTTTATATGAGGCCGGTAATAGATTGGTTTCACATTTTACGAATCACTTCTTACTGCTTCCACACTCCATACCATCCTCAACAGAGTAAAGATATAATGGCCGACCACATCGATGAATATAAATGACCATTTTAATCAGTATGATGTAGAGAGAACAAGAAAAAGTTACAGACGTGCTGGTCACAAAGTGTGGGAAAACAATAACGTTACTAATGTAGCTATGAAGGTGTACAGAAACGGTGACTAACTAGTGGCAGTTGAAGCACCAAAACGTCAAAAACCTTAACAGACGCAACTCTATAAAAAAAACGGGAGAACAGTCGATACGTATACACAGATACGAAAAAACAAAATAATTCAACTAGTGTAAAATGAAATGGAAATCTTATGAAAAAGTATTTTACAGACTCAAACATCTCTAGAATCCCTAAATATAAGTTTGAATATAACTTCTGCTACGATAAGCATAACAGAAATCTAACATCTCAAAACGTGAAAAATCACTTCCTTTTTTCGAGTCGTGCGCAAGATCACCTATTGTTCTACAACAAACTGACGTAGAAACATTTGAGAACTTTGCCGCTCCTTTGTAATATATTTTCAGACCAGTTTTCAGGCTCACTGATTAGATTATGGAAATCATTTGCAGGCTTACATTCCTTTGGCACTACAAACTCCTATTTCATAACTATGTAACTAGTTTTTTAAAATGAATATTCTCTCCATTCCTTATCTGGTTAACATCCAGGTCAGAGTTTCAGCTTTATGACGTTTGTACTCGACCTTAATTTCATATTCTGACCCCACTTCACCGATGTAAACAAAGCAGTATCGCCTCGTCTGCGGTCAGTCAGTCGTAAACTACTCACAACTTAACACATATATGTCGATCCAAGTCCTTATCGGAGAAAGTTAACCAGATGAATATAAGCGAGAAATTGCTATGAAGTGCAGTAAAAAATAACTTCGAAATACACTTTGCAAGAATCTATTTAAACCGAAATATAACAATCTACAAAGCTTAAGATTCACAGTAGGATTAAAAGTGACTGCATCTATTTCTTTGCGACTGATACCGAGTAATCTTTCCTACAGCTTCCATCCACCGATAACAGTTGCCTCAAAAACTACGATCAGGGAGTCTGCATCTTTTGACATAGGTCAAACAGTTAATGACTATATGTAATAATACGCTGTTGATTTAGATACCCCTAAGTCTTTCTAAATTGCTCATACTCTAGCCAGAATAGCACAACGGAAATGATCAGAGTTTGCGAATGCGTTGCACATCCCAGCCACTATAGTCAATAAGAGCTCATAGTATCTAATCTACCTAGTGTCTTGATGGTTTTCTTACACAGGATTTCAATATTTCTAAGTCCATGTGTTTGCTCGCTTGTTTCCACGAATATGGTATTCTGTGGATTGAAGTTATACATGATTATTGAATTCACAGTTGCCTATAATTTTTTAAAATCGTAGGTACCGAGCACCGGAAATTTTACTTGGCGATAAAAACCAGACTAAAGCTGTTGATATATGGTTAGTTCAAGTAAATTTGTGTCATCCCAAATTTGAAATATCAGGTCAGCTGGCTGTATTATGGGTGAGCTTTTATTACACAAACCACTTCTTCCTGGGAAGACAGAGGTTCACCAATTGGAGTTAATTATTGATTTACTGGGCACTCCGAATGATCAAATTTGGCCGGTATGTTCAAGTTATGCACTTACTTGTCTTCACTTTAGAATCTTTCCAAATTACCAGCATTAGAAAAGATAAATCTGAAAAAGCAACCGTAAGTTTGCATTATCGATCATTTGTTATCTTGAGTGTTCAGAATTTCTTGTTACGTTTTATTTGTCTTTCTTCATTTTGTGTGAGCTTCCTGGTCGTGGCACCGTTGCGTCTATAAATCCCACTAATCATAATCTAGTTTTAAGGGGATTTGATGGAAATTGATAGGTTTAAATATTCATTTAATAATCCAATTTATTTATCATCATATTCTTATAAGAGTTTTCATTTTAGTAAACAACTGGCATTGAGCTACAACGCTTGATTTATGGTCCTAGTGACGTTTGCTAAAAGCCCTGTATAACTAACGATCAACTATCTCTGATGTCCTCATTCTTAATTCTTAGAGTAGAAAATCATCGAACCAAAATAGATATTTCGGCTAAGATTTTTTCTACGATAAGATACCAAAGAAAAGAGATCTGAGAAAATGTGAAAACTACAGAGGCATCACACTAATATCTGCACCAGGAAACGTTTTCAGCATAGTGCTGCTGAACCGAATGAAGGATTCGGTGAATACCCAACTTCGAGATCAACAGTCCGGATTCCGTAAGAATCTGTTGTGTATCGACCAAGTTGCGACACTACGAATCACCGTTGAACAACCAATTGAATGGAACTCGTCACTATAAATCAACTTCCTTGACTATGAAAAGGTGTTTAACAGTGTGGAACCTTATGGGACTTCCTTCAACATTATGGTGTGAGTAGTTGAGAAGATCAACAACATACAGAATTCATAAGACGGACTACATTACAAAGTCCCTTTCTCTTCCTTCTGGTAGTTGACTGGATTATGAAGACCTCGACATCTGAGGGAAGCACAGAATACAATGGACAGCTTGGATGCGACTAGACGATTTGAACTTCTCAAATGACCTGGTCCTTCTATCCCATACACACGAACAAATGCAGGTCAAGACAACCAGTGTAGCGGCAGCCTCTGCATCAGTGAGCCTCAACACATACTAGAGAAAAGGCGAGATCCTCGATTACATTACGGAGACTTAAACGGAATACATGTTTTATTAAGAACCAGAGAGAATGTATACCTGCAAATCCCAATCAACATATCATTCTGGGTTTATGTTATGGCCTATCCACTCACAAAGTTGTTTAATATATTTTCTGTCTCATTGATTTCCTTTTATTATTGCGTAGTACGTTAACTAGATCGATGAGTTTTGGCAATAGGTTTTCCTGTTATTTATCTGTTTGTTCGCTGCCGAGTCTTTTAATAGATCACTAGTCTCGTCATTCGGTGTTACACCTCACTAGTAATGATTAACGTTTATTATTAATTCATTCGTAAGCTGTAATATTATTGACCTCATATTTTCAACATTTCACATCAAGTGTGCTTCAAAACCCAAACATAAGACTACACAGTATTTAGGTAGAATTAAATAAATGAAAATCGTATTTTTCTTACTTTTTCTGTTATCAATCTATAACTCATTTAACTTACTATTCTTTTGATTTGTACGCAATTATTTTTAAAGTTTTATTTACGTAATTTTTTCATTCGTGTTTTCCAGGTACAATAATTTGCGTCATACTTTCCCATGGTTATCAGATGCTGGTTTGCGTTTACTAAACTTTCTGTTCATGTATGACCCGTCTAAACGGGCTCGGGCTCGTGAATGCTGTCAGAGTTCTTATTTCCGTGAACATCCTTTACGTGAGTGATTGAATAAAGCTATTATTATTATTATTCCATGCAATGTCATTATCAATATTTTCTTTAATTTAATGAACATCCATTTTAATTGGCTTCTCATTAAGCCTAATGTTGAGATGCAAAATCGTGGTATTTTATTTTTATACACATTGGAAGTTAACGGAAATTATATAAATGATTTGCAGCAAGTTGAGGTTAATAAATGTATTCATGTGTTAACAAATAACAAAACTCAAATCAAATCTCACCCCCCACCAATCTGTGCGTAATTAGCAAATTGCGATACTCCATATAAAACTAGCCGTCTTGAACATATATTTGAAAATTGTGTCTTATTGCCTTGTTCTGACAAAACGAGTTTTAATAAACCGTTTACACCTGTATAGTTATTAACTGGTGCCAATGGGACAGTCTGGGAATGGCTTTTCTACATTAAGTTTGCATAAAAACGTAACTTAAAACTCAATACGTTCCATTAAGTTTTTTGAAACCATTTTACTCGATACTAGTTTAAAGCACAATTTACAATCTTTATTTCATTTTTAATTTCAATTATCAATATATTTAGTTGGTATGTAGTATTTATTTAACTAAAGCGATACAGTAATCTTTAAAACACAAATAACATGTTCTTAATTTCCCTTATTTATCGATAACAGCATGCGAACCTGATATGATGCCATCTTTTCCTCAACATCGATTAAAGCGTAAGAATTCTCCTGGTGAATATGATAACAAAGGTGTTAATCCAGCCCAAGATCAAGCTGCTGGATTATTTGATGCTGCCTTCGATAGGATTGTGAGTCTTTATCTAAAGAATTTTCAATAAGAACTACATACTTGACTTTTATTGGTCAATTTTCAGAAATTTTTGAATTCCTTCACTAATCGTTCATCAATCTTTCAAATGGTTGTTAATAATTTGTAGGCGTCGTGATTTTTAGTCGTTAATATCATGTTTTCTAGAATTTTTTAGACGGAAAATCATTGATTTCCAGTCTCACATTAATCTGCTTATTAAATAGCTTCAGTCGACGTTTAAACAATAAAATCTAAATAATTGTTGTTACTTTAGTTTTTTGTTAAATGAATTTGTAGCATTGATTGGACTTAATGTATAAGTGGTAAATAGTTTTAATAAACAGTCGTGTTTCTGTACTCGGAAATCGAAAAAGTTCTGTTCCCCGCCATTTCACAGAAGTTACTGAAGACATTCCCTATATCTATCGTTTGTTTTCTCATTCAATAAATAATACTCAACAGAAACTCATTTATTTATTGTATCAAGCGATGCTCAATTCTAACTATCTATTTATACACTTTAAAGTTGTGACTTAACAGTTTAGGTTCTCAATTTTCAATCAGTGAATCTTGAATCCAGAGCTTATTGATTGTACCGCTATTTATGTGGCTATCAATAACATCAACAGTTAGGGTTTCTCACAAACTAGGAAGTTGAATGTGGTTGCTTTGATGAATAATTGTTTGATACGAATGTATATGTGTACCGTCGATTGTTTAACAAATTACCTCTTACAGATCCTTTCCGTTTCATTATTTCTTGTCATAATCCTTACAACTTAACCCATGAAAAAGTGGTTATAGGAGTTTAATTATAATATTTGTTTTATGTAAGTAGGCAACAGTGATTAAAAAACTGCACTTCCATAAATGTTCATCGATCTGTATCATATTTACTCTAAATAATATTAAAAATTCACATGTGACTATTTTAAAATTCTATTTTTACTTTTCTATTAAGCGTAATTCATTAATTATAAATTTTGTATGTTAATCAAAGCTCTATGCATTTTGTTGTTTTGCTTCTAGGTGAAGAAACGTCGAGCTTAAACAGAACCAACACGATAAATTTTAAGAAATTTATTTATATAATACATTTGTGCATTTATAATTTCTTGGTGTTTTTAATTTGTCCTCTTTAGTCATTCATAACTGTTAATTTTCACGTCCATAAAAATCATAATTAACTTCTTACCGTAGTAATATTCTAACGTTAATTCATCCTTTATATGGATACTACTAAGAAAAGAAAGATATGGTTGTAAAGCATTTTCCCACTTAGTGTACAAGTGTTTGGCTTTGCCACACCACGATAAAGGAAATTATAATTGTGTAAAGAAGAGCAAAGATCGGTAATGAGTTTTGAAGGCTAAATTTCCAAAGAGTATGCATTCAATGTGGATTTTGTTACTTTACAAGACATCTTAGATTGCTCATGCAAAATTAAAAAAGAAACTACATACAGACGACGGATCTTTTCCACTGTGTCACACCCATCTAATAACACCGGATTCTAGTGCTGTTATGCTCTGAGGTCTACCAAAATGTTAGACGCATTTTTTACAGGATCATAACCCGCTACATGTGTAAGAAGACTATATATATCCCAGATGTATAAGTCAGGGTCTTGCTAACGTTCATAAGTCGTTCCAACCAATAACTTGTCTTCAATGTTTCTTATCTAGCCTTCAGTTTGTGCGCACAGCCACATGATATGTCTAGATTCACCTAGTATATGAACCGTCCCTCCCACCATACAACAAATAGTAATGAAACAACGGATACCAAAGAAGTGCATTTATCTTAACAACTTAAAATGATCGTATTCGCTTTTTCAATTAGCAGTGACTAATAATCTATCCGCTGAAACATCAAATCAAAGTTGTTAATTTCTTTTGATCTACGTTATATTTTAGGTCAAATAATGTTTTGTGTTTAGAACTAATTAACATCAATCAGTAAGGCGAGAACTCACGTTCTCCGTGTAAATGGAACCCGTTCATCAGTCACAAGTGATATGTTTCTGACCATATAACATGGAATAAAGTGCATCTAAGCCAGTTACTTTGTCATAAGTTTGCCGACGTAACGCAGGAAGTCGGACAGTTCAAATTTATCAAGGTAGTACTTAATGCATAAATATCTCCAAAAACAAGGCAATAGATTTTCCTCCTTGATAAAATGATAAATTTTCCATACGATCTATCTACAAATGCCATTGTCGACAGTTAATCTAATTAACATAGCCTTTTCAGCAGTGATTTACGACAATCCACGGAAAGCCTATATACCAGAAAGCAAAACAACTAATCTGAGATCAACAAGTGTTATGATCATATACAACGAATCTCTGATAAATTGCTGTGAAGCAAAAGCAAGGGACAATTTAATATGAAGTGGATTCATTTTGTGTTCTCTAAATTTTCACACACACATACACATTTTGTAAATAAAATGTTATCTCATGCGAAACATTCACCCAGTTGTCTCTTTACTGATAGAGAACTATCACAAATCTATGGTTTCCACCAATAAAGAAATAAATCTATCGGTTGCATCCTCCTGGGCTAAAAATAATTATCATGGTACTCCTCCGATTCACGTTTCTGCAAAGTACAGGTACAATGTGATATGTCATAAAAATGGATTATTTTCGTGTTACGGAAACGGAATGGCAGCGATACTCTAACTAAAACTTCTATACCACAAACAACAGCACTACATTCCCTCCAAGCCCCAGCTACCCCAAATGACCAATCTTGTTAAGAACAATTTGTTGGGTTAAAACATGAGTCGACCGAAATCAACCAAACACTAAAAGCTTGGAAGCGCCGTCTCATCAGAAATGCGCATTCACGAACCCGAGATTAAGAATCGAACCCGGGACTTGCGTGCGAATGCTTAACCTCTTATACAGTGAGGTACACTTGGTGTGTACCAGACGGCAGAAACTTCTACATAGTGTAAATTCGATCAGTCACCAAATATCAATTTTCCAAGACGCAACAACTCATGTGGCTAACACTCAACCAATTAATGGGTGAACAATAAAAAAAAACTCTACCCTGAGCAATTCTTTCCAGTTGCAATTCATCGTTTTAATGTCTACTTCCAATTCTCGAAGCAATGTGTTGCTTCGGCTTTCGCTTTTGCGATTCCCTTCAGCACTTGCCTTGTGATGCAGTTTGATGATTTTCGCAATGTATGTCCCACGTACCACCTCCAGCGTCTTTTCTAGTTACCTCTTTAAGTGGAAGTTGATTTGTTCTCTTTCACAGTAAGCTGCTGCTGATGTTATCCTGCCAACGTACATTGTATATCTTGCGTAGACAACTGTTTTATAAGGACTTGTATCATTTTGATGATAGTTGTTGGAGTTCTCCAAGTCCCAACTTCGTACAGTAGAACTGTCTTGACGTTCTACAGAAGATTCTCACTTTCGTATTGGTTGACAGTTGTTTTGAGTTCCATCCTTCAATTAAAGAATGCTACACTTGATTTTCCAGTCCTCGCATTTACGTCTGCATCCGGTCATCCTTGTTCACCGATGGTGCTGAACAGTGGAGCACGAGGAAGTTTACTATTCTTCGAAGGTTTCTCCATCAAGTGTGATTGGTTTGGTTAGTGTTCTGCGTGTTGTAATCGAGGATCTCGCCTTTTCTCTAGTATGTGTTGAGGCTCACTGATGCAGAGGCTGCCGCTACACTGGTTGTCTTGACCTGCATTTGTTCGTGTGTATGGGATAGAAGGACCAGGTCATTTGAGAAGTTCAAATCGTCTAGTCGCATCCAAGCTGTCCATTGTATTCTGTGCTTCCCTCAGATGTCGAGGTCTTCATAATCCAGTCAACTACCAGAAGGAAGAGAAAGGGACTTTGTAATGTAGTCCGTCTTATGAATTCTGTATGTTGTTGATCTTCTCAACTACTCACACCATAATGTTGAAGGAAGTCCCATAAGGTTCCACACTGTTAAACACCTTTTCATAGTCAAGGAAGTTGATTTATAGTGACGAGTTCCATTCAATTGGTTGTTCAACGGTGATTCGTAGTGTCGCAACTTGGTCGATACACAACAGATTCTTACGGAATCCGGACTGTTGATCTCGAAGTTGGGTATTCACCGAATCCTTCATTCGGTTCAGCAGCACTATGCTGAAAACGTTTCCTGGTGCAGATATTAGTGTGATGCCTCTGTAGTTTTCACATTTTCTCAGATCTCCTTTCTTTGATATTTGATGAGGTGTTCTTACCAGTCAGTCGGCATTTGGTCTTCCTCTAAAATATTCCTGAGTAGAAAGTGCGACATGATTACGGCTACTTCTATGTCTGACCAGTGCTGCGGCTGGTATATTGTCCGGTCCTGCTGCTTAACTACTCTTGCTTTGTCTGATGGTCACCTTGATTTCTTCGACTGTTAGCGGAGTAACATGTGTCGGGAGGTCTGTACGTGATGCTTCGATGTCCGGTGGATTGAATAGAGCTGGTCTATTCAAAAGTTTCTCACAGTATTCTACCCATCTGTTCCTTTGTTCTTGAATCTCGGTAATTGGCTTGCCTTCGTTTTCCTTGACTGGTCTCTCTAGTCTACTATATTCCCCTACTAGTTTCTTCGTTATGTCATTTATTTGTCAAGTTCTTTTCTGAGCACTTCGCTAAGATCGATTGCAGCCTCTCGTAAAACGGATCATTATCGCCTTCATTGCTAGGTGCATAACATTGGATAATATTCAGTGTAATCCCCTCCTTATTCGTTTTGAACGATGCTTTGATGATTCTGGATTTATGAAATCCCCATTCTATAAGTGCATTTCATGCTTCTTTGGACAGCGTCAGAGCATCTGTCTCTAAGTGTGTGGTGCATTTTTCTTTTCGTGACCGGAGTACTGCAGTATCTCTCCCGTATCTAATCTTAGCTGTCTAGCCTACGTTTCGCAGATTCCGAGAACCCCCAAGTTGTATCTCCTCATTTTTGTTGGTCTCACATCACGAGAACACTCTATGGGGATGGTGACACCATGCGCAACCTTCCCCTTTACCCGGGCTTGTGACCGGCAGTAGCCCTAGAAGAGTTTTCCTACCAATTAGCTACTCGTAATTGATATTCTTTTTAAACAAACTACTGTAATCCAGATCTCTCAATGTCATGATAGTAGTATGTCTATCTATTAGATCACTTCACCTCGTAAAATAAGAGCTCTCTAGTAAATCCTAGTCTTATTTTCTCCGACTGCGTGTGTTTGTGTCAAAGCTGAAGTGTCATTCTATGTTAAACGGCCGATTGGTCTAATCGCGCTATTTTCGGTCCCATATCAGTAGTATTTTCTCGAAGATACTCAACACAATACTAAACATAACATGGCCACTTAAAAAACCTATCCCACACCTCGTCTCCCAGTAAATTAAATAAGATGCATAAAATCAAAATAAAAAATACATGTTAATTGAATAAAATATCCAATTAGATGTAAAGAAAATCCAGTACACACATTCTTGTCTCAGTAAATCTATCATAAAGATTATTTTGAAGTTGTGATTTAGTACATTAGTATCAGTATTTATTATTGCTATTTTGTGAAGATGAGGATGTAGTGGACATATTGTGAAGGCGTTTAACTAAATTTTCATCTAATAAATGACTATTATCATCATCATTATTTGATAATTGTGCTTTATTTGGACCGCCAAAACGTTGACAATTTCGGCTGCCTCTAAACACTGAATTGACTTTATTTGATTCTGTTACTGGATATTTTCTTTTTTCATGTGAATCTTTTACAGATCATTAGATATTGAGTATTTTTGCTTTTGTGAGGATTGTTGAAAATTTGATTTCGCTTTCAATGGAGAATCGGATTGTTTTTGTCGATATGGTGTTGTACTACAACTCTTTGTTTGATTCCCTGAGGATGACAAAGTACTTCTAGAAGTATAATTATTATTGATCCCAGGATCATTGTAGTTTGAATCTTTGGAAATGAAAAATTTAAATTCTAAATAATTAATGTATAAAGTAATATTTCTTGAATATAAAACATTGTTTATAGATACGGAGAAAAAAATTAAAATAAGAAACGTGGAAAACCGATTAGCAGCAATTTATCCGACTTACATATTTCTACTGAGTATTTATCAAACAGTTGTTTGGGATTATTTATGGCTAATGAATTATTATTAGATCATTTTTCATCGATGAGATATAGTTTATTAACTATGAGTGTATTACTTAGATCTGTATAAAAACATACCAGTTATTTACCAATCTACCGAGATCTATTGATCGCAGTGAAGTATATTACGCATAAATGAATATAAATTAGCAGTAAAGCGACACAATGTATTATCATTGATATCGATGCTTGTAGACATTTATGGACACAAATTTTACTGGTGAAATGTCAATAATTTGAATGGGGGGACTCCAAAAATAACGGAGAATTCCTAGCATAGCATTCAGATTAATTAGCACTCAACAGACATATCGACATAGATTCAATCCAATGAACCTATATGGACAAGGTTAATTAATCGCAAGTTCACATGTCAGCCAATAAAGATGGTCAACGTGAATGTAAGGACACACGAAGACAATCAATCACAAGCAAAGTCGTACATGACACTTGCTGAATAACCAAAGAGCTCGCTTCCAAATGAAGATGCTGAAAATGTTATTCAGAATGACAATGAAGGTTGAACAATTAAACTATCTAGCTAAGAGAACTTAACACAATACCAAAGTTCAGAGTAAACGGTCAAGTAAATGATGAGTTAACGTAATTAATGATAAGTAAGACACTTAAAACTATTTATTCGGCATTTCGGTGTTCTGATCGTAAAATGTATTCAGTAAAAAAAATTAGATTTCTGAATTCATTCTCAACAAACTATTAAATACAAGAAAGTAATTTGATAATTAAAGAGATATCGAAATAGAAACAGTGATTATTTATCAGTATGCAAAAATTTGGAACTCCGATCAACTCGGTCAATTTTTATAAAAATAACATGCACCTATGTTGTTAACTTGGTAGAAACAACTGTATCAAGACCAAAACTTATGTGAAAGTAAACATGAGATTATCTTCAAATAAATTAAACATTGATTAGAAAATTGTATTTCCGACTTTTTTATTTATTTTCTCTGAAGATATGACTTACATAAAGTTATGAGACATCAGAAATACACAAATTTCTACTCATTGAGATATCACAAAAATATATTTATTATAAGATCACCTTATTTAATTCCTGAAATTGATTCCCTTTAAAAATTTAGGTAAAGCAAAAACGCCAATTTTCGCAGAGTATATTAGTTTATTCATTATAAGTGAAAATTATATTTGAAATATTCTCAGCGATTGAAATTTAACTAATTCCAACGTTTCGTCCAGCTAGCTTGCTGGACGAAACGTTGGAATTAGTTAAATTTCAATCGCTGAGAATATTTCAAATATAATTTTCACATATAATGACTTCTCTATACTCGGCGCTCAATTACTGTCAAACTATTCGTTCTAATCTTGACGAATATTCGTATAAAATATATTAGTTTATATTGTGATTGAACAGAAAGCAACAAAATACAATGAATTCATTGTATTCTGAAATACTGTCATTCCTGCTTCGTTTAAATATCTCATCTCAGGTTAATTGAAAGTCAACTTATTTTGCTCAAAGGAATTCAATGTCTAGCTTTACAATAATGACACTAGTTCACAAAAACAAGAACTGTACTTACTATGATAATGTGATTTTCGTGATAGATCATTAGTTTGATGAGGATTAGACACGTTCTGTTTATTGTCATACTTTTTTGGCTCACACGGAGACTTATTAGGCGTAACACCTATTGAATGGTCTGATGAAACAGATGAAAACTGTTCTTCATAAACACTTGAACTGGATACCCGACTGGATTTATGATATTTTTTAGGCTCATTATTATTATTATTATTTTGTTGACTTTTTGGCCGGTAATTAACTGGGTGATTCGCTTGTTCAGTATTTCTATATTGTTGATTGTTTACATAACCAACAGATGATGAATAACAGGACGGAGGAAAGGATTGTTGTCGACCATAGATATTAGATTGCACAAGATTATTTGATAAACTGTTAAGTACGAAAGCATAATTAGGGATAGAGCCAACAGTATTATTCGGAAGCAAAGGAGTTGGGTACGGTACTGAAGGAAGTATTGAATGAGAATTAGTACGTATATTTACATGATGCGGTTGTACATGACGATAATTGGAAGTGATAGGTTGTTGTTGTAAATTATTTCTTATCGGTCGAACTTGGTAACTATTTTGTGGTTTAAAAGGATTCCTATAGGTATGTGATGATATGTTTGCTGGAGTATTATTAGGTTTAGGGAAGTTTTTACAAACAGCACTAGTAGAATTCAACTGACGATTTTGATTTGATTATCATAATGTTGAGCCATAGGTTCCTGTGAATTTGATTGTGATGCTTGAGCTTTTTGTAAAAAATGACCAATCAGTGAATGTAATGTAACTATGTCAGAATTATCTCTTTTATTTCTCTTTTTATTTCTTGGACATTCAAATGCTCCATGTCCAGTTTGATTACATATAAAACAAAGTATATTATTTTTTAAAAATCTTTTATCGACAACAATGTATTCTGGCGAAAACAAATGGCTAAAAAAAATGTTCAAAATGAAAAGTAATGTTTAAAAATTGCTAAAAGAATTAATTTTCCGTAGAGAAACAGAACATATATAATACAAAACTAACAAAATCACATTCAAAGAAAAAGTCTAAGCCAAAGAAATTCGTTATTATAGGATGCTGTAAAGCTTGTTAGATTTTGCCTTTTGAAATGTTTATGAAACATTGCTCATTCGGAAAGTGAGCAATGATTAGGTTAGAAGTAACGTATTAGGTGAAGATGGGATGTCGGTTGACGTAACCTTGATACTTCAATAACACATATTACACATGCCCAAAAACTGTCTATCTAGACTTAAAATACCGGTTGGAAAAGCAGTAGTTCGGAAGAAAGCTGACAGTAGTCATGATATCGTAAACCGTTGGTCAGTGTTATTTTGCTAAGTGAAGATTACTGTTGGTTGAGTTCTGAGTGACAAACTTGATTAGCCATTGGACATACTGGGTTACGTAGCTCAAAACTGGTCACAATGGAGAAACCCCGCCCATTTTTTACCTTTACCTAGATTATGATTTTAAAGGTTATTCCATATTGGTTTATCACTTTATTTTGGAACCCTATTCTGTAAGTTGAATATTTCTTACTTTCACTGATACAAGTGTCATTGGAACTTAGCATATAATCTTTTCGATTTCATTTTGAAGAGTTGTGATGTGAGAACTCAGACCGATGCACATCTGTGCCAAATTCTATAGTTACCACGACAGACTGAAGAGGAATTATGTTTACCACTTAACTCTTATCTACTGAAAGAAATAAGGAACTACCAAAGTGGTAGAGATATAAAGGAAAATCTTTTTGTGAATGGATATGTTACGGGTTCAAATTATTAAGTGTGATCGACAATGATATTATTAAATAACTATTACTTTGGTTTACCCTGAACTTGATGTGATTATGCTTTGTTTATTTGCCAATCGCAAACTTGTACGAGACTAGGTTCGATTGACTGATTTCTTGTATGCTCTAGTTATGTGCCGTTTTCCCCGTCAGTTTTTTTCCTTCAGTAGATTGCATTAATTCTTATCTTTGCACTGTCTTAACTTTGGTTTTAGAAACAGATAAAATTTTTATAATCCAAATACTTATTTTGACTGTGATCACACCAAGACTGTGTGCGACAGATTAGGGACTTATTTGGGAAGGGTATGTGTAATTGAATTAAATCCCATACAAATATCGTTCCATATACTTTTTTGACAACCGGATAATGTCAATAAACATTCACTCAGGCAAAATATATGGCTTTAACCCAAGTATACACATACGTTTTTAAAGAGTTTCATATATTAATTAGTACCAGATATACAGATTTCTTTATGAGTGCATTTCAACTGAAAATTTACAATCTCTTAGTAGTATTGAAATATCACATCTTTGATTATAAGAAATCATTAACTAATGGTCATACATAAATACTAGAGGTCAATTAACTAGAATAATGAGGCACATGTTAAAGACAAATATTTCAGTTTCAAAAGAAGCTTTACATAAACAGACTAATAGCAATACAAATTTATTAAAACTAATGCAGTTATCTAAACAAATAGCAGTTAACCCAAAAGACTATAAGCTTTCATGAATTCATAACTAACTGACATGTTATACATTTAAAGTGTCACTCTGTTTATCACAACAAGAAAAGACCAAGAAGCAGGGTGACAGTAGCTTATGATGATATTATTATTAATACAATAGTGAATATATCAAGGGTATACTTGAGTTACATCACTAAATTCAGCCAGTGAGTAACAACGTAGAACTACGTACGTACGTACATCAGTTCAAGTTGCCATACCACAGTAGCACAAAGATGCAGTTGTCGACTCAAATCCCTTTGTGGTAGGTGTAGTAAGAGTATAAGCAATAATCGGAAAGATTGGTGTTTGAAGATGTTGTTCAAGGATTATAATACAGTGAAATAAATTTGAAAGAGAAAAAAAAGGAAGGGACATGAAGAATTCCGCAGATTAGAATTTGGGAGAACACAAAGAGTGAATGCACCTGCGCCATTGCAAACGATTTTGAGCCATGTCATTCAGGGTCTCTAACCATCGGTTGCTATCATCTCGCGAATCCCAACTAGTTAGTCTGCATCTGCCAACACGGCTCAATCTACTTGTCAGTGATTTCATGCATTTGTGCCATGTTTTGGTCTGACCACCCCTAGCTTTCTTCCAACCTACTCCTACACCAGAAAACATCACACGTCAGGGCATTCTATGGTTGGGCATACGTAACACATGTCCCAGCCATCTCAACTGATGAAATTTCACTACTTCATCAATTGATTTGCCATCCTTACTTAGTACCCGTTTCCTAACAACTGTATTACTTACTCGGTGTTCGCAGGATATGCGAGCAATGTTTCGAAGACACATATGATCGAATACTGGTAACCTACGACATCGGTATATTCTAAGTCAACAAGTGAATCTCCTGGTAGAAGTTCAACCCCTGGAAATTCAGATGAGGAAAGTTCATCTCTAAAAGCACGTCAACGACAAAGTTAAACAAGAATGGAGAGAGTAGACAGCCCTGACGAACACCACTTGAGGCAATCAATCTGATGACAGTTTTCCATAAGCTCTCATTCGATCAACAGAGTCGAATGAAGCCTTAAGGTCGAGAAATACTACGATTGTGGGGCGTTGAATGTGTGTCTGTGTTCTAGAACCTGATGTAGTGTGAATATCTGATCTATACAACCACATCCAGGTCGAAAACCAGCCTGATTTTCTCTAGTCTGCTCTTCACGAGCTTTGGTTAGGCGTCGAAGTATTATTGAAGCTAATATTTTAGACACTATATTAGTCAAACTGATTCCTCTGTGATTGTCACAAGAGGACTTTTGTCCTTTCTTATAGACTGGCACAATCAGTGATTGAGACCAGTCAGATGGGATTACGTCCAGTTCCCAGATTCTACCTAAGACCTCAGTCAATCTCGCTGCTAATACTGGACCACCATCCTTAAAAGTCTCAGGGGTAAACCTGCTGCTCTCCGATGCTTCAGATTTTTCGTAGCTTTTCCAATTTCATGAAGAGTTGGATGACTTACATCAACTTGCCATTTAGGTTGACTGGAGATCGTAGGCTGAAGGCCAGTTGGACTGATCCCTAAAATATTCTGCCCATCGATCCAATCTCCTGGATTGAGAATGAATATGTCCATCTTTATCCGAGATAGTTGGGTTCCTAATACCCGTTTCCTTAACAAATCTGAACAGTTGTCTGCTGTTACCTATTGCCGCTGCCTTTTCCATCTCTCTTGCTTTCGTGATCATTGCGTAGGCTTCTCATCAGCCTGCACTTCAGCTGACTACGCTCTTCGTTATGTTCAGGGTCAGATGGAATGAGTTTTCGAGCATCTATCAGTGCGATAGATGCTGCTGAGATCCAGTGTTGCTCCCTAACCTTATGGTTTACAGTACTAGCAGATATCACTGCTGTTTCCACAGCTTTTCGGATATCATTCCATGCTGCATCGGGGTGGGCATCACATACATGGCTGCCTAACTGTTTTCCTAGTTGTTCCTGAAATATACTCTTAGCTTGACTATCATTAAGTAGGCCCTAAGAGGTTTCCTTGCAGCGTCTTTCCTACGTCCAGTAAGACGCAAGCAAATACGCGCTCGCACTAGAGCATGATCTGAATCTAGGCATGTGCTCCAGAATGAGCGACAGTCTTCTATCGAGCCCCTCCATCGGTGGCTGATAGCGATGTGATCTATTTGGGTCCAACGTTGGGACGAATTAGGGGGTCGCCATGTTAAAAGATGTTTTTCCTTATGCTTAAAGTTAGTATTTGCAAGGAACAGGCGGTTATCTGAGCATAGCTGCAACAGACGGTCGCCATTATCTGTTCTTTGAGCCACGACACCATAAGATCCACCTAGGTGTCTTTCCCTATCGCTAAGTTTACCTACTTGAGCATTAAAGTCACCGGCCACTATTACTACATCCGAGCGCTTAGCTTTTCGGAGAAGGTCCGAAAGCTTTCTGTAAAACTCATCTTTTACATCATCTGAGCTGCAGTCAGTGGGAGAATAGGCAGAGACGACGAAGAGGCAACGACGAGTGTCCCTATCTTTCCGGATTCTTACTGTTCCGTTCAGTCGGACAGCGCACAAACGACTGTCTACTGGGATCCACTCTAAGAGAGCTAGTTCTGCCCTAGGACTCAATGCTATACCTACGCCGGCGAGGCCACGGGAAGCAGAATCAGGGCTTCCAGATACACGAAGCGTAAATCGAGTCGGTTTTTTATTTTAGCATGGTGAGGTCAAATGAATGACGCTACTCGGATCCTGTATGCGCGTTTCGGAGACGCAGCACACATCGATGGCGCGAGATTCTAAAGTTTTAGCTAAGGAAGCCTGTTGTCCTATTTGGCAAAGTGTTCGTACGTTAAAAGCTCCTACGTGTAGTTTAGAGCGTGGTTTCAGGAGACCAGGAATGGCGTTCCACGTACTCGAATCGTTTGCCCTAGCGGTGCGAGGTGATAAAGAGACGTGAGGAGGGTTAGTCCTGGAGATAAGAGGGATATTAGGAGGTGTAGGAAGGATTTGAATGTGACCACCTTGGTCTCTTGTGCTGTTACGGGTATGAGGGCTGATGTCACTTCCCGGCTGCCCACATCGTGGAAGGGTATTTCTTGAGGAACCTGAAAAGGAAATTGGATTAGTGTTGGTCTTGACGACCTGGGAGCGTGACCGCAGAGCCCAAGGGACAACTGCTTGAGGCCGGTCGCGCACGGCCTTTTTGTGGAAGGTTTTTGACGTGTTAGCTCCGTTCTTCAAAGGGCCTTACCGCCGGAGACGGAAATCCGTGAGGTAAGGTGAGGTGTGACATTTTTAGGGTCGACCTTTTCTAACCCCACCCCTCCTTGTGGGAAGGCAGCATCGCTGTCATGCTGGTTGTCCGAGGGAAACACCTTACTGCTGTCACACCCCTCTACAGTCAGCAGTACGACTTCGCCCTCAGACCTTGAGTTGCTGCTTTTAGTCTTACCGTTCTCCAATCGACCTGCCTGGCATGGTAGAACCTACGGGAACATGTGTTCTAGCCTACATATCTCGGTTGGGTCGTCACGATACGCTAGCCCGACCACCACGTCAAGGTAGCAGCTACGGTAGGGATATCACTAAATTATTCAACTGAGTTGAGAAAATATATGACATAGAGAATCACTAGTATAGACATGACAGAAATAAAAATAATAATTAGATTTAAAAAAAGAAAAGTGGACTTCACTTTATTTCTGCTTAACGAGGCCTGTTTAATAAGGTATCAATGGAATATAATTTACTAACACACTTGTTATTTTCATAAGTGAATGCGATTACCTAAATGTAAACCACTACGCTAACTTAAGAGTTTCTCTTCGTTATTATTATCATTATGTCGACCGATGATGATGATAAATAAATCGTCGATAATGATGGTATTGTGGTATGTGCTACTGATGTCGACAGATATAAGTAGTATGTATCATCAGTCGAGAGTGAAATACCTGGCAGCAGAAGATTGAAGAAAAGAGAACAAGAACAGTGAATGATTGTTGTGGAAATAAAAAAACAGTGAAGTATGAGACGATTGATTGACATTTTGCAAATGAAGTATTTACTGTAGGGTTCTCAGATTTTACTATGATGTTCTGTAATTTTGTGTCCAAATACATTCGATTGTCCCCACTTGTGTTCTCGTTCACTACAATATTGAGTATAGTCTCTAAATAATCTCGTTGAGCGGTTCATTTTTAAATTTGACAAAAATAAATCAGTATACTTGATCGTCAATGTTTCGTTTGATTAATAAAAATTATGTGATCATTAAGGAAAAATCTACAGACTTAATCACGCAATAAATACAAGACTTACTAGCACCATTGATTTATGGACATTTGTTTGGGCAAGAATGTAGTATGATGAACAAGAACCGTGTGGAATACGGTAAGAATATAAAGAAACACTAGAAAAGTTAAATTTAGTGCAAGAAAAATGAAATAATTAATCATAATGCCTTTGCAAAAAAATTAATATAACTAGGATATATGTCGCTACCTAGATGTTTACTACTTGTCAATAGGAATAATTTTCTAAAATACCGGATTTGAAAAAAGAAAACGGTTAATAATAGCCTTATCAGTCGTTACAATTCATAATATCATTACTGTTTTTGATCTGTTGACCGAATTGATGAATTTGAGGTCGTCTGTTAAGGAGGAATAACATGGATGAGTTCAGTGACAGCTACGAAATGTAATGACCGAATTTCGTTGTAAGTTTACCTGACTTTTTAATTTCTTCTCTAGTCTGTAATTTATGACATTGACAAGATAGTTCTGAAACAAATGGATAGTGATCATTAATTTGTGTGTGATGAAAAATCGAACTAAATTTGCCTGATCGGTGTTCATAAGCATTATGTATATATTTGCATTAAATAAGATAAAGATATTCGTACAACAATTGGAAACACACAACTACACCACCTCTTCATGCTACATAGTTATAAATAATTGAAAATCTCAAGTATCTGAATACTACGGGTGTCATAATTGGCATGTCAGATAAGGAGAGTGTCTAAATAGTTGAAGCGAAGCAAAAAATATACTAATCTTAATCATTCTAGTTTTATTATAAAACTAATTTAACTGTCAAACCATCACATATATAAAGTAAGCATTTAGTAGTTTTCAGTCATATGATATCTAGCCTTTGGGACCTGAAAAAAATCGACGGCTCTATATTTTGTAACGGAAACACTTATAGAACATAGAAATCCTGTAATAAACCTGAAGATAGTGAAAACGTTTTGTATGCAATTCCATAAGTTTTAATGCTGTTTATTGAGAATGTGATAAAATTTAGTTTATTTTAATAAAATAAAATAAAATTACTGTAAATTTCTCCAGTTAGAGTAGTTGATATTTTATTTCTCTTTAAAACTTGAGTTTTCATGATTTATTCAAATCATTCCATGAATGTATCTACATTCAGTTAGTAGAAAAGCAGAAACTAGGTCTTACGGATCTATATGTTAATAGAATTACTCATATGGTAGGTAACTCATTAAAAAAATGAAGCAGTTTTCGTATTAAACTTTGTGTGCATAAATTACATTTATCACATAAAATTTCTGATAGCTGTTAATCATTTCTATGATATGAACTTGTTTCATATACGAAGAAACTACTTTCCCGTCATAAAAATAAAGACTGTAGTTTTTCATGAGGAAATTTCTGAGAAAATTTCCTTTTCGACCATATTATTTTCTGAAGCTGTACAACCGTATTTATACGTAATTTGTCACATGTAATGGTGTATGGTAAAACAGAGGAGTATTACAAAACTATCAAAGTCAAACTTGTTCAAATGGAAGTCAACAAAAATGAAGTGATGTTGCATAATATAGTCAGGATTATCGAAAATTTCCGGCGTTGAATATGATAATTTATGAATAGAAGGGTGTCATTTCAATGTAATTAACGTTTTCAGGTATTGAATGAAAAAGGGTTGGAATCATTTAATAAAGTAATTCACAATCATCAAGAGCATACGTTTTGTTATAGTTTTAGAAGTAATAAAAGGTAATGATCTGTGGAATAAAAGATAAAGATAACTGTTTACTTAATAAAGGAAATGAAGAAGAAGAAGAAGAAGAAGAAGAAGAAGAAGAAGAACAGGAAGAAGGCAATAATTAGCGATTGTAATTTGTAAAATTCAAAGAGATTGTTGGGTCATGGGAAAATAAGTGACTGAATGTTATTCTTTTGTACACCTACAGATACAGCTTCAGAAAATAATACCATTGAAGAGAAAATTTTCTTGGCCGAAACGTTTTTATTCTTTTTTTAATGAACCAATAAATGTTTTTCGTTTTTTAGAGTTTTAATATACATTACGTAATATTATTATCAGTATTATTAACACAATATTTTAAATAACATTATAACTTACTAGAATGACTTAAACCAGCAGTAAGGTTATGATTTAAATTGAAAGGATCTACAAACGTAAAAAACAAAGAAAAATAAGTACAAAATAATTATTTGAACACTGAAAACAAAAGTAACGAATTCAACTGTTAGTTTCATCAAGTAGTGTCCACACTCACAATTAATCATCCGTTTAAGGACAACAAGAAAAATGTATGTTAAAAACAAAAAGAGATTAAGCGTAGTATAAATTTATATATATATATATATATATATATATATATATATATGGAAGCAGCAAACCCAAGGTCTGAAGACGAAGTCGCACTGCTAACTACATAAAGGTGTGACGACAGTAAGGTGTTTCTTAAGACAACCAGCATAACAGCGATGCTGCCTACACACAAAGAAGGGTGAGGTTAGAAAAGCTCGACCATTAAAATACACACCTCGCCATATCCCATGGATATCCATCTCCGGTGATAAGGTCTCAGCAAATAAGGAGATAACACGAAAATTACTCTCAAAAATGTCACGTGTGACCAACCGCAAGCAGTTGTCTTTCGGACACTGCGGTCACGCTCTCAGGTCATTAACACCACCCCTAACACCATTTCCTTTCCAGGTACTTCCAGAATAACCCTTCCACGGTGTGGGCAGCCAGGAATTGATAACAACTCTCATACCGCAAACAGCACTTAAGGTCACAGTATTCATAACCAACCTTTCTCTTCAATTCCTGTTATTCCTCCTACATCGGCTTCCTCCTCAAGTGTAACCATAGCCAACAATTCTAATGCACAAAACATCGTCCCAAGTCTACCAAAACCTCGCTCCAAACTACACATTGGAGCCTTCAATGTACGCACCCTATGTTAAATCGGTCAACAGGCTTCCTTAGCTAGAACCCTAGAATCTCGTACCATTGATATATGCTGTGTCTCTGAATCACACATACAGGATCCTAGTGTGATCATCCACTTGACCTCAACTCGCCCAAACGGAGAGTCGACGAGATACACATCTCGTGTATCTGAAAACCTGATGGCTGGTTCTCGTGGACTGGCGAATGTACGCACAGCACTAATAACGAGGGCAGAACAAGCACTATTAGAGTGGATCACCGTTAACAGTCATCTATGTGTTGTTCGGCTAAACGGATCCGTAAGAACTCGGAAGGTTACGGACACACGTGGTTGCGTTTTCGTCATTTCTGCCAACGCTCCCACTGACTGCAATCTGGATGACGTGAAAGTTGACTTTTACAGAAAGATCTCTAAACTTCTTTATAAAGCTGAACGCTGAGACATAGTACTCGTAGCAAGTGACATCGTCTAACAAAATGACCTCCTGCAACAAACCAACGATAGACTTAAATAGACCATATTGCCATCAGTTATCCTGGGAGAAGCTAGATAGAAGACTTCTTCGTTTCTGAATACCTGTTTGGACTCCGATCATGCTCTAATACCAGCATGCATTTACTTGCGCCTCACTGGACGCACAAAAACCACACCAAGAAGACCCATTAGAATTGAACTAAATGAAGAGCAAACCGAAAGTAGATTTCAGTAACAACTGAGGTCGCACTTATGTATTTCTGAAAACGAGGCTTACCCGGATATTGCTTGGAAACATATGCGAACTGTTGTAAAAACAGCAGCGACATCTATTAGTGACTCAAACCAAAGGCTTACGAAAAACAAATGAATTCCTACTAAGTCTCGTGCACTGATAGATTCTCGTAAACTCATCCCATCAGGCTCCGAGCACGATGAAGAGCGAAAACAAATCAGATCTAGGTTAAACAAAAGTCTGATGAACGACCAAGAGTAGTGATGGGCAACAAAATCAAAAGAGATGGAAAGGGCAGTGGCTGTAGATAACACCAGATAGCTTTTCAGACTAGTAAAAGAAACTGGAATTAAGAAGTCAAGTGTAAGTGAGACGATCTCGGCAAAAGACGACACTTTTATCTGTTCTCAGTCCAGACGTTTAGAACGATGGGAGGAACACTTTAGAGAACAGTTTAGCTGGCATTCAGCTGCTCTACAAATACCCATCATTCTCAAACAGCCTGAATGACACACTGAAGTGGGTCCCCCGACTCTAGTTGAAGTTCAGAAAGCTATAGCTAATCTGAAACGTGGAAGAGCAGCTGATCCAGATGGATCAGCCCCAGAAGTATTTAGGGATGGTGGTCTAGTTTTAGCGACTAGGTTGACTAATATTTTAGCTAAACTCTGGCAGTTGGACGTAATCCCATGTGACTGGTCGCAATCACTGATTGTCCCAACATATAAGAAGGGGTCAAAATCATCCTGTGATCACCATAGAGGAATTAGTTTGACTAACATAGCATCTAACATACTAACCTCAATAATTGTCGGATGTTTAACAAAGACTCGAGAACTTCAAACATGAGAAAATCAGGCTGGTTTCAGACCAGATCGTGGCTGCATTGACCACATATTCACCATTCGTCAGGTTTTGGAACATAGGCATACTTATCGGCGTCCGACAATGATGGTCTTTCTTGACTTAAAAGCAGCATTTCACTCTGTATACCGAGAGGTTCTATGGCAGTGTCTGTCACTGCACGGTGTACTTCAGAAGTACATAAACCATGTAATGGCTCTTTACTCGAACACTACTAGTCGAGTTAGAGCTTCTGGTGAACTGTCATCTGATTTTCCAACCTCAAATGGTGTCCGTCAAGGCTGTCCACTTTCTCCATTTTTGTTCAACGTCATCAAAGGCCTACTGATGGAAATAACGATGTCGTCGACTGAAGTTTCGGGCATTGATCTCTTTTCATGAGGTCCACTTATCGACTTAGAATATGCAGATGTCATAGTCCTGTTTAGTGAAAAAACGCTGATAAAATGCAGTGTTTTGGTAGCACAGAGCAACAATGCCAAGATGTATGACATGTGTTTCTCCCCCTCCAGGTGCAAGTTGTTGCTCGAGGAGTGGTCTGCGTCAACATCTGAACTAAGGATATAAAGTGAAGTAGTTGAACGTACTGACAACCTCAATTATCTTGGAAGTCTGATCAGCCCTAATAGGTTGTTGTCTGAAGAAATCTCAGCACGGATTCGAAAAAGCTCGTTTGGCTTTTACCAACGTACGTCAACTATGACGAAGGCGAGATATTCATCTATCAGTTAGGGAACGAGTATAACTGAGCAGTAGTTCGTTCTGTTCTAATTTACGGCTGCGAAACGTGGCAATCAACGATAGAAGATACTCGTAAGCTACTAGTATTTGATCACAGATCTCTTAGGAATATCGCTCATATCTGCTGGGATCACTGGGTAAGTAATAGTAAGGTTAGACGGAGGGTATTAGGGAATGATGTTCAATCAGTTGGTGAGGTTGTGAATCTTCAACAACTGAGATGGTTGGGCCACGTGTTACGTATGTCTCAACACCGATCACCACGCCACGCAATGCTGACTAGTGTTGGAGACGGTTGCAAGAAAGTTAGTGGTGACCAAACCAAAACGTATTTTCAGTCCTTCAAGTCATTAACTTCTGTTCTTAGCCATGTCGGTAGATGCAGACTACTTGGTTGCAGTTCGCGTGACTATCGTAAACAATGGCTGGACACTCAGTGTGACATGATTTTGAATCGATCGCAATGGCGTAGGTGCACGCACTCTTAGATTTCCCTTAAACCATGAGATTGAAATACTTTATACCAATTCTTTTTCCCTGTATCATATCCTTACATACAATCTTTATTTCTATATGTTACTATAATTGAAGTAACTACTTCTATGACTTTGACGTTGATCTTATTAGCTAATAAATAAAAAAATAAGACAAGTATGGAGATTAATTTTTGGTCTTTTCAATTGTGTAAACGTATGATATTTTGGCACTGTTACGTAACTAATAACCTAAACTATATAAGAATTCACGCGAACTTACAAATTATTCACCTCCATCTTGAAATATAGTTAAGTAATTTAATGTACACCGTTCAACTATACTCAAAATATTCATGCTATGTAACGAAAAACAAAAATTCAGTACGATGTTCGAGTGTATACACAATCATTTTCTATCTGAAATCGAAACACTAGAAGAAATACCTTGAAAGTACAGAGATAATTTATTCTGTATGGAAATTCCTATAGTGAAAACACAGGCGAAGAAAAGTGATGATCAAGTGGTGTGTGTGTTCATACTGTGAGCATCAATAAAAGACGTAGTGAATTTTCGAAGTGCTTCGAATGATCACTTGAAGATGGATAGAAATTTCTACTCAGGCTTTGTGATTAAGGATTTTAAAGGTTATCCAATAATATCGTGATATATATATGGTCGACTCACCTTCAATAGCGAATAATGATCTCCACATTTTCACAAATCGTATTAACAATTTCTTTTGTCTGATAGTTACAACATATTTATCACGATTGAACTCGAATAGATAATAACGTAGAAATCCCAACCACATTTCTCCGACTGATTGTGACGGATTAGCTGGTTTCCATAAACGATTCTAATGCGTATATACATATACATATAGGGAGGAATAAGAAAACTTTAGTACATATAATAAGAGCACGAATTCGTTACAATTTAAAAGATAAATAGAATAATGTGAAATTAGTGGAAAGTTTAGTGATACAAAGTTATTTAGCTCAATTTAATAGGTTGTAAGGTTCAAGTAATGATAGGTATAAACGATAAGGAGATCTGGAACGAAAGAAATCGTTTTTAAAACTAAGTAACTGTTTACTCATGGAATTCTATCAACTTGATATACTTCAACATAATTCGAATTTTATCTAGTGTAAACCAGTATTAAACACTTTTACTCATTTGAAACAAGTAAGCTTAAACTTAGAGCATAAGTTTATAGATTAAAATCTAGCCTCATCGATTTTGTGGTTCAGGTGAAAAAGGAAACCATCATGCTTAAAGAATAACTCAGTCCATAATGTTTGACTAGGTAAATGAGTTAGATTAAAGCATGAAAATTAGATGGATTTGAAGCCAATACATATACGAATAAAATATGAGAGCTGGCACTGTATATAAATGATTGCATAAACTTAATTTGCGTAAATGTATCATCTGAAATTTTATACTTGATTAAATCAACTGTATTTGGAATGAATCATTTTGTTGGGGTGAGAATAAACTCCACTCTCATTCGCCATTCCGACCGTGCACTTGGCGACCAACCAAAATGAAGCAATAGTTATTGTTTACATTATCTTCAACCATAATGGAGAGTGGTTTTCATCATTTGTTGTTCTTGCAGGCTTACACAAAAATTTTTAAGTTTTCTAAAATGAAAATACCACTCCATTATGCTACGAAAGTGTCATGTGTAGCTCAGTCATTCATGATGGGAGAAAAATTACAACATGGAAAAAGTCATACCTCCAATTCACTCCATGATAAAAATTATTCCAAACTATCTACAACTGAGTGACCAAATAAACAATAACAACTTTATAGGTATCATTACCAAGGTTTAACTTGACAATCACGAATAAATTGAGCATTGTGTAGATTGTTATAAATAAATAATGTATTTTTAATATCCCGATGAGCATAAAAATTGGATTTTCTACTCATTGGGATATAACAAATAAATTATTTATTTAAAAAAAACTTTAGTTACTGACTATGATACACGTAGATGACTTGGCAATGTGGAGTTTATCTCCTGTCACATTCTGTCAAAACATTTTTCGAAAAATCAGTATTACAAGGATTTATTCAATTTAATTAATCTCATTTAGACCATGTGGCTGATAATTGATTAATATATATACGGATACGGAGGATCCATATAGGGGAGGGGGTTTGGAAAACCCTGATTCCAAACCAATGGTGCACATGGGCTCCAGTATCCTGCGGGAACAAATGGCGTATGAACCATTCGTGGGTCACCGGCTACCATGGGACTGCATCTCCTTGCGTTGCTCCACTGCCTTGTCAATTAGACCTTTATATCAAAGGCTCCGAGTGTGCCCCTCAAAGAAAGCCACCTTCTTCGGTCTGGGCACTCGAGCAGTATCTCAGCCGTCATACAAATAAGCTGAAATTACTAGAAATACTGTTCTTGCTCCAATTAAAATTCACGAAACTCACATCCATTTGACAATATTCATTTTTATTTCTTTGATATACATCACTTATCTACTCTCTTCTATTTTCACTATGCATATCCTTATTTTTCAACTTATACAGCAGCTCGTCTATGGTGATAACCCTGTTACATCTAAACGATCTCAAGTCACTGAATGGTCGGAAGTCGAATGCTATCATCAACTACGAATACTGAAACATTGTTTCTGAAACCACGTACACCATTCAAACTGTCCTCCTTTAAAGCTCGCACACTAAGACAGATCGGACAACAGATAGGATTGACTATATCTTTAGAAAGTCATAACATCGATGTATGTTATCTATCAGAGACCTGTATTCAAGACTTTAGTGAGTAATAGAGATTCGTTCTCCATCTGTCGCTTCAAAAATCTTGTTTCACGTGCATTTATCCGAGGAACCTGTGGCATCTTCGGCTGGTTTTACAGACGTTGTCGCACAAGCTTTAAAGACGAGGCAGAACTAATCGATTGGATCCCCAACAACAGTTGGTTATGTGCTGCCTGATTAAAAAGTTCCATCAAAATATGAAGAAATTGTACGAGAAACGACGTCTTTCCAGCATCTCCACATACGCTACGACAGACTTCATCAGGGATGAGATCAAGGATGAGCTTTATAATTAGTTAACTGTTCTTCCACAGAAAGTGAGTTCGACAGACATTGTAGTACCAGCCGGAGACTTCAATACTCAGGTCGGATGTCTAGGCACAGATGAGAGTCGTTAAGGTAACCGATGGGGACTTGGTGGTTGCAGGTCGTATAACGGTAACCGTCTACTGCAACTCTGCGGAGAGTAAAACCTATTTCTGCCTAGCACTAAATACCGGCACAATCATCAAAGTTGGTTTACCAGGCTTCTCTCTGCATCTCAAGCCTGAACTAACATTGATGTGGTGTGGTTGTGTACAAGACTGCCTTTCGTTTTGGAGTGCCTAACTGGACTCTGATTGTGCCCTTCTTTGCTCCAATCTTACTTTACGTTTCAGTGGTCAACAAATTCATCGTCCTAAACAGATTGATGTAAGTAATTATCAGGTCGAGCTAGGTCCAAGGCTAGCTACCATCCCACTAAAAAGTATAGGTGAGCATTGGTACAACTGCTTGCAGCTTCGCGAAACATCTCGCCAGCAAGCAATGGGCTTATTCAGGTTCCTTACAACTCATTGAAACCCGTCGGTCTACTCCGGGTGACTTCGAGTTCGACCACAAACGATGGAACAGTGTAATCACACTGTTGTGGAGTCCTATAATAAAACGGAACAGCTCTCCAGTACTTTCTAATCATCAATACTTTCTTAATTAAGGGAAGAAGAAATGTGTATATAGTTAAATAGACTTTGTTAAACACGGCATACAATGTATTTAAATATGTGAAACCTATCTTAAACAGCTTTATACTAGAGATACAGAAGTTACACTTGCTAGTTTAGAAATAAAATACAGTAAGTAAATGTTTACTTTGCAAACGACTGGACGTTACCGCATGAGTTAACACAATTTTTCCTAAATCTCTCAAAACAACACTTGGCAGATAAACCTCAATGCCTTTCATTACCATTTCCAACATATGTAAATACTGTTCACAAAAGTATCAATCAACGAAATAAAATTTCCGATATGATGTTAAGAAATACGATTAATATAGTCTCGTCGACAACATCAATGACGTGGAAAATATAAGATCATATTAGCTATAGGAATGAACCGCTTTAAAACCTATTTTTCGAATTCCCTCTTTCTAAATTCCGTTAAAGTCTTAAACATCACTGTTTTTTGGAATGCTACAAGCAACCACAAAAGTTGAAAAAAAGCTTGCGCAATGACCGAGAAACCTGGTGATCGGAGCGTGCCGATGAGCTGGAAAAAGCAGCTACATCTGATAACTGCCAGAAGCTCTTTCAACTCATTCGGGTCACTGACAGCAAGAAGTCTAGTGTCAGTGAAACAACCTGTAAAGATGATGGGATGCCAATCAATGAAACAAACAGACGTCTTGGACGATGAGCAAAGCTTTTCGAGAGGCAGTTCAACTGGCCTGCTGCTCCGACAACATCGGTTGAACTGTCCTGCCCTTCATAGCCTGTGACAACTGATCCACCGATCGAGGCGGAAGTCCTCAAGGAACTCCAACTCTTGAAGCGCTACAAATCACCTGGACCAGATGACTTACCTCCGGCTCTTTTTAAAGATGGTGGTGACTCTGGTTAAGGAAATGAATACGTTGTTTACAAAGGTCTGGGAGCTAGAGAGTGTTCCAACATCATGGAATGAGTCGATAGTTGTTTCTATCTTTAAAAAGGGTTCACGTCGTTCCTGTAACAACTATCGGGGGATAAGTTTACTTCCGATTGCATCCAAGCTATGGCTTCTGTCGTACTTCGTAGGTTGTTCACAACTCAAGAAAGTTTGACTAATGAGGAGGAGAATAGCTTTCATTCTGATCGAGGATGTATTGATTATATGTTCACCCTCCGCCAAATGTTAGAACACCGTCACACTTGTCACAGACCGACAATCGTAGTGTTTCTTGACATCAGGGCTGCCTTCAACTCATTGGACAGGACTGTTATCTGGGATTGTCTATTAGAGAAGGATGTGCCTGAGAAGTTTATTAACATCCTAAAGGCCCTATATACAAACACCTCAGGCAGATTGAGGGCATACAACCACCTCTCTCCATTGTTCCATTCGAGGACTGGGGTTAGGTAGGGTTGCCCAATCTCACGATTCCTCTTCAACTTTGCCATCGATGACATTTTGGAAACAGCTCTGATGGATGTAAGTAATGGCGGTGTGGATCTGTTGCCTGGAGAAAGACTTCTCGACCTTGAGTATGCGGATGATATTATCTTACTGTGCGATAATGCCCAAGCCATGCAATCCTCACTTAATCAGTTAGCAATCAGTATCCGTAGGTATGTTATGTGCTTTGCACCTTCGAAGTGCAAAGTACTTCTACAAGACTGGCACGACCCTGAATAATAAATAAATAAGTTCTTGATAATCAATAAGAACTGGTTATACTTACTATAACGGATAAATCATTTTGATACCAGACATTCCAACCGTTGACAAGATTAGTTGGTTTTGTTGATCCTTCATAAAGCTAAATCAGGAAGGAAAAATGAAAGAAGACAAAATACAGTCTAGCTGAAGATTTTCTTTTGTGAACACTCAATAATATGTCAAGTTTTTTTGAAAATCAAACATTATTCTTCTAAAAGTGATTTAAAGTTGATCAAGGCATATTTATACAGGTTATTGTTTTTACTTCTTGTAAAACAGGGAGTTGATCAATTTGTTGAAGATAGTGGATTAGCATAATGATCCAAGCATAAGAAGAAATACCACCGGCAGCCGCTCTCCCAATTTTTGTTATCTATGAAAAAGCAAGAAAAAAAGAAATATTGGTTGGTGAACAATCCCCAAAAGTTAACTTTGAGATTATTTATTTAAAAAAATTCTACAGAGTAATCAATCAAAGATAGGAAAAGGGTAAATAAATTAGTATTTTACATTACGTCGGAAATTTCATTACAAACAAATTTAAATGCATTGTAGTTTTCCTTTTGAGTATTTCTGAAAATATATTAATTTATTTATAACAATTTAACCAATGCTCAATTAATTCGAAATTATCAAGTCAAACCTCGGTAATGATACTTATGAAAATGACTGCTATTGTAAAACAATCGCCGACTTTTAAAAAACAGATAGAAAAGTCTAAAATCTTTGTTTTAAATAACAGCTAACAACCTAGAAAGTTATACACTTTCACGATTATACTAGGATAGTCCTGCCTGGAGCCTTTCTAAGGTTACTTTCGGTCCTACACCCGGATAAAAAGCAGGATTTTTGTAAGAGGTTAACAACTTCATTCTGTAGAAAGCAAACATTGCTGAGAAAACTGTAACCATGAAAAAGCATTTATTTATTGTAGTAAAGTGAAATACTTTAATTAAACTATGGTAATAGGAACAAACAGTTGTATAATAACAGGTCGACATTTAGAAAAATATAAAAATGTATTACCTTTGTGACAGTTTTTAAAGCAATTCCTAGAGTACGAAGTTTTGGCTCAACTTTGGTGTAAAATGCAAGCATTCGTGTATTTGAAAGAGCCTACAAATGTTTAGATAAGAAAATATAGAATAAACAGAAAACTAAATGGCATTAATTACGTAATCTGACAAGTACAATGTTTCGCTGTTTAGTTTTATAATAGCAAGAATGACTAATATTATCCGAACAATAGTTAAAAGTCACAAACTCAGTACCTGTACATTGTATCGAATCTTTTATTAAATAGATCAAAGCTTTATAGCATAACACTAAGAATTTCACGAAAAAAATCCGATAAATTATATTGATGCATTAAAAGGTTTGACGCAGGACTGTGAATGTAACGACAAAAAGTTTATTTGTTGGATTTAATCCTTCCTACTTGTCCGAAGAAGTCCACTTATTACATCTATAGGTTAAGTGTTTGGTGAAATTCACTATCGACTTCATATAAACTGCAGTTAAAAAGTGTATGACAGGAAACTACGAACAGATTTTAGTGTCCCACTGTTTCTTTCTTAGGAATCATTTGGCAGAACAACGCAAAGTCGACTGTGGTGGGATCTAGTCAAAAAGTCAGCTTTTCGCTCTAAAGCCTAATCCAACCTAACGTTACATTTATAAACTCACGAAAACTAACTGCTGAATTCACAGATAGAAAATTCAACTAAACTGATTCATTGCATAAGACAGAAAAAGATAATCGGGTAGCCACATTGGATCACATATATCATAAAAACACTATAAATGGATATGTTTTACGATGCTATAGTTTTGAATACAGTTTTCCCAACCGATTCAACAAGTCAATTTATGTTGGAAGCAGAGTTAAAAAGATATGTCAAACTGTGAGAATGATTGTGAAAATAAAATGAATATACAGAAACAAACTAAAACAAAGAGGACTGAGGATGAATACATTTTTGTTGTACTGTGAATAAACCGACAAGTGATACTGTCTGGACCTAGACCATGAAGTTGAAATTTTCAAGAAATAGTTCAAAATAGAAAAGGAGTTGATGTTGATCAACCTCAGGAGAAAACTGTCTAAAGTCGGACAGTACAAAGAAAATTCTGAAAAAGAACTTATTGCCATTGATCATAATGTTCTATTCCCAATTCATAAATCTAAGTGATACACATAACCCATTTAAAAAAAGGAACAGCTTAGGTTCCACATCTAAGGAACGGTTACCACATTTATTAAAAGTTTAAGATAAATAATGCGCAAAAGTTAACTCGGATCTCCTATTCAAATATAGATGTTTCCATGGTATTACTACCTACGGCTGATGGATTTGCTACATAAAAGTACCTATAGGTATCGACAGGATCAAAAAGCTACGTCCATTAAAATAGGGTTTGAGGTGGCTGGAATGGAATATCTCATATACACTTGAATACACATCCTAAATAGTAAGACATGCTTATTAAAGTTAAGACTGATCACATAGTGATCAATTCCCATAAATCTACACTGTTAATCTTCATTGTATAAGGAGTGTTAGTTTCATTAGTCGCTCTTTAAAAAGTTGGTTCAAAGAGATCAAACTAACTAAATATGTCCATTTTTAGTCAAATAATTCTTTCAAATATCGTTAGTAGATAACACAGAGACATTGGTATAATAATAATAATAATAATAATAATAATAATAATAATAATAATAATAAGAAGAAGAAGAAGAAGAAGAATAACAGTGTTCAACAGTCGTCATTAAAAGATAATTACCAGGTAATTTGAAAAACTTATGTCTGCTTCAAATGAATTGCTAAAAGACACTTTCAATATTGGAACACGAGCTGTGAGAATCGGTTGAATATGAGTAATATTTAATCGATTTCTACAATAAGATAATTGTTTTTTGAATTTTCGAATTAACTAAAACAAAACAAAAAAAATTGAAACAGATGTCAATAACAAAAAAAAATCAATCAATTATGTGTAAAACGAAGCATAACATGATATAGTGATTTATTAATCATGGAAAATCAATTGAAAAATGGATAGTTTAATTTTAAAATTAGTGAAAAATATTATAATGAGTAAAATATTTGAAATTTTGTATCATTCGATTATTTTATATAAATATGCTGAGTTAATTTTTTAAAAAATGAAGGTTAACATTTAACCAACTACTATGTATTCTTAAATTAACTAGTAACTATGACATAGATCAACAACAAAAAAACGAATTGTTTTCAGAGGATATATTTATAGATCATGTTATAAATCCTAAATTATCTGCATGGATTCAAAAAGCTAGTTTGGTTTTTGTCAACTGACGTCAACTATGACGAAGGCGAGATATTCATCAATCAATTAGGGAACGAGTATAACTGAGCAGTAGTTCGTTCTGTTCTACTTTTCAGCTGCGAAACGTGGTAATTACGGATAGATGATACTCGTAAGCTACTAGTATTTGATCACAGATCTCTTAGGAATATCGCTCATATCTGCTGGGATCACTGGGTAATTAATAGTAAGGTTAGACACAGGGTATTAGCGAATGATAGATCGATCACATTTGCATCACTAATAAACTTAGAAGGTCGAAGGAAGACATGAGAATTAGGAGAGGAGCTGATGTAGCTTCAGATCACCATCTACTTGATGGCTGTCAAGATGAAACCGAAGCTCAAGGAGCACTGGAACATTGGGAAACAGCATTACAAATGTTCAATACAGCCTTCCTTCAAGATACTAACAAATTCAACGAATTCAAGATAACTATTAACAAGAGATTCCGACCCTTATGAAATTTACTCAAAGAAAAACAAACTACTATAGAGGACAATTGGAAAGGGATCCCAGAAGCTAAAACTTCAACGTGTCAAGAGGTTCTGGACCTCAACAAGCATCATCATAAGGAACGGATCCTTATGAAAACACTGGACGAGATCCAAAAAAGGAAGAAAAAGAAGACAGCAATTAACAAAAGCCGTACAGGAACACATAAAGTCAAGGCACAAGCTGAATATATTAAAGAAAACAAGCAAGTAACAAGGAGCATTAGAGCTAACATTTAGAATTACGTGGAATACCTAACAATGACAGAGGAAAAAGCTGCAACAGAAATAAATATAAGACAACTATATGATAGAACGAAGAAATTAGTAGAGAAATATAGTAAACTAGAGAGATTAGTCAAGAATAAAGAAGGCAGACCAATCACCGAGATTCAAGAACGGAGGAATAGATGGGTAAAATACTGTGAGAAACTCTTGAGTATGCCAGCTCCATTCAATCCGCTGGACAACGGGGCAGCACCTACAGACGTCACTCAACCTACGGTCAATAGCTTTCGAACTGCACTAAGAAGGACTTGACACACATGACATTGATCACCACCCAGTGATCAATCAAACTCGATTACATCTCAGTCCTACAGGAGGTCAGTCGCGGCCCGGATAGCCTAGTGGTAACGTCTCTGACTGTGAAGCTGAGACACGGGATCGAACCCGTCAAGAAGCAACAGTTCCCTCAAGATTACAGGTATACCTTGCAGACAAGTGCCAAGTAGCACGAAAGCCGGGTTCACAGTTTCCTGTTGACAACATCCAACCACTATCTTATTTAGAAGGGGAGAAACACATGTCATACATCTTGGCATTGTTGCTCTGTGCTACCAAAACACTGCATTTTATCAGCGTTTTTTCACTAAACAGGACTATGACATCTGCATATTCTAAGTCGATAAGTGGACCTCATGAAAAGAGATCAATGCCCGAAACTTCAGTCGACGACATCGTTATTTCCATCAGTAGGCCTTTGATGACGTTGAACAAAATGGAGAAAGTGGACAGCCTTGACGGACACCATTTGAGGTTGGAAAATCAGATGACAGTTCACCAGAAGCTCTAACTCGACTAGTAGTGTTCGAGTAAAGAGCCATTACATGGTTTATGTACTTCTGAAGTACACCGTGCAGTGACAGACACTGCCATAGAACCTCTCGGTATACAGAGTGAAATGCTGCTTTTAAGTCAAGAAAGACCATCATTGTCGGACGCCGATAAGTATGCCTATGTTCCAAAACCTGACGAATGGTGAATATGTGGTCAATGCAGCCACGATCTGGTCTGAAACCAGCCTGATTTTCTCATGTTTGAAGTTCTCGAGTCTTTGTTAAACATCCGACAATTATTGAGGTTAGTATGTTAGATGCTATGTTAGTCAAACTAATTCCTCTATGGTGATCACAGGATGATTTTGACCCCTTCTTATATGTTGGGACAATCAGTGATTGCGACCAGTCACATGGGATTACGTCCAACTGCCAGAGTTTAGCTAAAATATTAGTCAACCTAGTCGCTAAAACTAGACCACCATCCCTAAATACTTCTGGGGCTGATCCATCTGGATCAGCTGCTCTTCCACGTTTCAGATTAGCTATAGCTTTCTGAACTTCAACTAGAGTCGGGGGACCCACTTCAGTGTGTCATTCAGGCTGTTTGAGAATGATGGGTATTTGTAGAGCAGCTGAATGCCAGCTAAACTGTTCTCTAAAGTGTTCCTCCCATCGTTCTAAACGTCTGGACTGAGAACAGATAAAAGTGTCGTCTTTTGCCGAGATCGTCTCACTTACACTTGACTTCTTAATTCCAGTTTCTTTTACTAGTCTGAAAAGCTATCTGGTGTTATCTACAGCCGCTGCCCTTTCCATCTCTTTTGATTTTGTTGCCCATCACTACTCTTGGTCGTTCATCAGACTTTTGTTTAACCTAGATCTGATTTGTTTTCGCTCTTCATCGTGCTCGGAGCCTGATGGGATGAGTTTACGAGAATCTATCAGTGCACGAGACTTAGTAGGAATTCATTTGTTTTTCGTAAGCCTTTGGTTTGAGTCACTAATAGATGTCGCTGCTGTTTTTACAACAGTTCGCATATGTTTCCAAGCAATATCCGGGTAAGCCTCGTTTTCAGAAATACATAAGTGCGACCTCAGTTGTTACTGAAATCTACTTTCGGTTTGCTCTTCATTTAGTTCAATTCTAATGGGTCTTCTTGGTGTGGTTTTTGTGCGTCCAGTGAGGCGCAAGTAAATGCATGCTGGTATTAGAGCATGATCGGAGTCCAAACAGGTATTCAGAAACGAAGAAGTCTTCTATCTAGCTTCTCCCAGGATAACTGATGGCAATATGGTCTATTTAAGTCTATCGTTGGTTTGTTGCAGGAGGTCGTTACTTCAGACAATGTCTCTCCTTATGTCTAAAATCAGTGTTTGCTAAAAATAAACGATTACCTGAACGCAGTTGCAGCAGATGATCACCATTATCTGTTCGTTGAGCCGGGATACTGAAATACTCACCTCAATGTCTTTCTGTTTGAGTTAATATACTTACTTGAGCATTAAAGTCATTTGATACATGTACTATGTCCTCGACATGAGACAACAGGCATAAGTGTTAGGGACTGCTGGGATCACTGGGTAAGTAATAGTAAGGTTAGACGGAGGGTATTAGGGAATGATGTTCAATCAGTTGGTGAGGTTGTGAATCTTCAATAACTGAGATGTTGGGCCACGTGCTACGTATGTCTCAACACCGATCACCACGCCACGCAATGCTGACTAGTGTTGGAGACGGTTGCAAGAAAGTTAGTGGTGACCAAACCAAAACGTATTTTCAGTCCTTCAAGTCATTAACTTCTGTTCTTAGCCATGTCGGTAGATGCAGACTACTTGGTTGCAGTTCGCGTGACTATCGTAAACAATGGCTGGACACTCAGTGTGACATGATTTTGAATCGATCGCAATGGCGTAGGTGCATGCACTCTTAGATTTCCCTTAAACCATGAGATTGAAACACTTTATACCAATTCTTTTTCCCTGTATCATATCCTTACATACAATCTTTATTTCTATATGTTACTATCATTGAAGTAACTACTTCTATGAATTTGATGTTGATCTTGTTGTTTTAATGAAGCATGGTAACTTGGACGGATGGATTACAAGTCTAGACTTATGAAACTTGTAAATACATTTTAAATACTAAAACTTTGATGGAATTTAATTGAATTCGCAATGAAAAACAATACTACTTGATAATTTAAGTTAAATTAGGTGAAATAAATTTGGAACTATGATATTATGACTGATGTTGGAATAATTTAACGTCTAACGTCATTTATAATAATTTTCAATGTCTCTTAAAATACGTTTTAAGAATAAGACATCATGCAAAAGATAGAAAAAAAACAGATATCATTAAAGTAGAATACCTTCCCTTCTAAACTTATGTATTACGATCAATTATTAAGTATCGAATTCGAAACATGTTAACATTACAATAGATTAAAAAAACGATTGGTTTCACTAAACCTCACATACAAACATTGTGGTCTAAAATCTTAGTAGTTGACAAATACAAAACACTAGTTAATTTGACTAAGAATGAAATAAACATTCTGATTAATAAACAATATCTACCATATTTGTTGAATTTTTATCCTTTAAATAATTCCATTCTGTTGATCCAACAGGAAAAAAAACACAAACATCTAAATCACTTGTCTGTAGATCAAAACCATTAGCGCAAGAACCAAATAATTCAAGTTGAACAGAAGGGAAACGATATGAAAAACATTGATGAATTTTTTTAACTAGTTCCTAAGAAATGATATAAGAATTGTAAAAAAAACACGAAAATGATATCACCAAAAGTAAAATACGGCAAATAAAATCGAAAAAGTTACTAAGTACAAATTAAACAGTTTTTATTTCTCTTTAATTGTTACTCTAACTTGTGAGCTATTCTTTCTTGCAATATGTCATACATTAATTTTAAAAAATATCTACAATCATGTTAAAGTTTTCGAATGTAAACTGATAATATATTTCTCTTCCGAATGACATGTACATTCTATAGAAATCTTCATTACGACCTTTAACAGATATATATATATATATATATATATATATATATATATATATATATATATATGCTTCAAGTTTTATGATCATTGATTTTGTTTATCAATTTTCCTTTATTTTGTAGTCGTCTAACACTAACAATTTAACGTCAAATGATTCACATTCAGTCAATCATCCATTACTGGAAGGCCTTTTCGTTTTAATATGAGAAGGTCTACTAGTGTTTTCAGGTTTCCAATGGTGGTCTAACATTCATCGGTTATGATGTGTGTTATACCCTGATGAGAATTATGAATGGTAAATGTTGGGATCGATTTCTAGACCAATACGATGCATATATTTTTATTGTATAATTGTTAAGTAACTAAACTACTCATATTCGTGTTCCTCTTCTTATAAGCTTTATTTTGACCGATGAAATATTATTATAAGATTTACCATTCTTGAGTTATGCCCAGTCAATCAATTGCTATCTCTCATATTCACAACCACTTTTGGCTAGATCTTCTTCGAATGTTATTTTCTGTTTTATGGTACGATATGGTCTGTTTGGTTTGTATATAAACTCAGTATGTTTGAAATACATAATTCATATCGCAGAGGCTGAGATTGATGTTTTGGACTTAGCAGGCAGGAAGCAGGACCAATAAAGACTCTAGACTGCTCGTACGGGTTTTATGCGTCATTGGTCCAGTTGATAATTCACTGTTCTCTAATTGGCGGTATCACTACGTTATACATTGATAGGGGCACAATGCCACAAATTATAAGAATCTCAATAAAACTCAACAGTTTCCACGACCCTAAACTTATTCATTCTTTTGTTTTAATTCTTTCATTGGCTTCTTACCATATTACTATTATTTTCTGGCAATTCCACTTCATATCATTACCCGACGTTTTCGGACGTAATGTATGGGAAATCCAACCTGTATATATAACACTTGCACCTATTTATTTGAACACATAAATATTGGTACAAGAGGGCACCAAATATATATGCGCCACACATTATTTTCATAATATTTGTGTGTGGGCTGTGATACTGTCCGGGTACCCAGACCGAAGCAGGTGGTTATCTTAGGGGGCCACACCCCAAGCCTTTGGCCCAAAGATCTAACCCACAAGGCAGTGGAGCATCGTGAGGAGATGCGGTCCCATGGTAGCCGGTGACCAACGATTGGCTCATACGCCATTTGTTCCCATAGGATACTGGAGCCCATGTGCACCATTGTTTTGGGATCCGGTTAAAGCGCCGGACATTCGCTTTTCGTCCTCTTATTTTCGTAAACAACACACCGGCCACGAGAAGACAGTGAGTAGGACTTCTCTGGCACAGGCTGTATATGCGTGGCCGTGTGAGAGCATTTCGAGAGGGAGGGTGGGTCCACCCCACTCTCGGCCATACCAGGGCATTCGCACCTAACCTTAGCTGGTCAGTATTAAATTTAAAGTAACTAACGCTTTTAAAAAAACTAGACTGATAGATAATACAACATTGAATTTAGAAAACAGAAAGAAAAACCGAGATAGATTGGGGGAAAAACAACAACAGTGATAACATCCAAGTAAATAACATACTTGACGTGCATTAACTTTATTATAAGTTTCATGATGTTCTTCTAAACAATTTAGGCAATAAGTTAAATTTTTTATTTGTTCAGCGATTGGTGGCCAAGGCGTTTTATTCAATAATTTATGCCATGCTAAAAATGATACGGATTTATCACTGGTAGTTTCACACTGTGATTGTCGATGACCAGTTAAGTTACAAGCTTGACATTGAGGTTGAGGTGCATCGAAATGAGCTAATAATGTGGATGGTTGATTTCGTGAAGCTAAACCTAAAACAGATGATTGATTATGTCGACGATTAGAGGATAAGTTCATATTTGATACAAATTTAAAATCAAAATCGTCCGGTTGTAAATTCTCTAGAAGCTTAGAATTATAATAATCTGGACGATCATCATCAATAGGCTAAAAAGAAAAAAGTAAAAATACGCAAAGGGTCAATAGGAATGAATAATTCACGAGAAAACTACTTATATTCATAAATAAATGAATCTTGTTTTTTCAATGATGAATTCACATCACACAGAAACTAGAGAGTATGACAGAACTTGTTTCTTCTTATTCCTTTGATGCGACCCACAAAAATTAGGTCTAACAATCAGGTTTTAATTGATTGGATGATAAATTTTATTTAACTTAGCTCATTCTGCACGTAGTTAGATATGGCCAACATCTCTATCTGTGAGGGCTAATGATACTACCTGATTGCCCGAACAAAAGTAGGCGAGGAGGGCTCAAACTGGGGACCTAGTGGCTGAAAATTGAATACCCTCAACCGCCCCACAGAGTGAGTGTGACCTCGAAACTAATTCCCCTCAGTTGCCTACAACATTTCATCACATTTATTTTGTGCCAATATTCCGTATGTAAGCATCTGATTTTATTACGGAAAAAATCTATTTGTCTATCTAGTGGTATAATCCACCATTCCTAATAATTCGGTGGTATACTGTAAAAATCAGTTCTCATAACCAGCTATTACTTGGCCACATCGAATAATTGCTTTCGTCCATCGATTAGCACTCTATGAATTGATTATGACGGTATAAAATTCGCTCTTTAACTTATATAATCATGCTCTAGAGCACTGTTTGAGAGTAGATAAAAGTATTGTTGGAAACTAATTATCGTAAGTAAAAAGAAGCTGAGAGAACAGTGAATAGGGAGTAAAACCGTGAACATGAAAAAATTCTTATTATCTAGAATAACATTGTGTCCTTTACTTTTATTTCGCAACCAGTAGATGGTTTATGAAACTGAAAAGAAACCATGAGGTTCTGTAACAAGCTAATGAAAACTGAAAATTGTAAAACATGTACATGTGAATCAGATCATTTAAAAAGATGAAATTGACTACTGCGTAGCTTCAAAGAGGTTAATAATAATAATAATAATAATAATAGCTATTTAATGCAACCTAAAACTTATTTTCACAGCTTCTTCAGCAACTGTCTAGATACATGAAATACTTATCCAAATACAAGATATTAAAAAGACACCTAGAGTCCTTCTACAGTTACCATTGGTCCAAACCCCGGGTAAAGGTGGGTAAGGCAAAAGCCTAGCAACTACATTCCATAAAAAAGGACCTCGCTAAAAAACGCCAACCAGAGATAAAAGGAAATGTAAAAACTTCTAAAATAAATTAGGAATGTTATACATAAACTAGGTTGTTTTAGTCAAGATTAATAACTGAACCAATACATATCTATAAACAAATAAACTTACAGGAGCGACTGCAGAACGTGACGAAATCACATCTTCCCATTCAAGCTTTTTAGCTGCTTTTTTTTTCTTAGCTTTGGTAGGACTGAATTTTGATGCAGTTGTATTATTATTTGAATTCAACATATTGTTAGAATGACCTTGTTGTTTTTTCTCAGATTTACGTGCTGTTTTAGTTAATTTATTGTCACGTCTAGTTAGTTCATTTGAAGCAGTAACTAATACATTTGATGGACAACTTATGGATGACAAATGGTTGACTTGATGTGAATCATTTGATGTTAAATTGTTAGTGTTAGACGACTAGAAAATAAAGGAAAATTGATAAACAAAATCAGTGGTCATAAAACTTCAAGTGAATATATATATATATATATATATATATATATATATATATATATATAATCTGTTAAAGATCGTAATGAAGATTTCTATAGAATGTACATGTCATTCAGAAGAGAAATATATTATCAGTTTACATTCGAACACTTTACCATCAATGTAATTTCAACAATAGTTCATGAAATTATTTTAATACATAATCTCAAGACAAGTAGTTGGATTTTTTAAAAAGGTTAGAAGAGGATGGGTAACATGAAACACTGTACAGAAAGTGTACATTTCAATTTACAAACTTTTCAACAGAATAATCCTGAAAATTACGAAACAAACAGAGATGCATAATAGTGATATGTTTGAGATTTAATAGATTTAAGAAGCAGTATCCATTAGTGTTATGTGATTCAGTTTGCAAATGTTTTGTAAACAAACAAATTACCTACACTTTAACAAACTAATTCAAATAACTGAACTGTCACACGAGTAACATTAAAATCCAATGTTTAACGAATGAATGCAATGCTTGTTTAAGAATTTTTATCTAACCGCGTCAGGAAACGTAGCTCTACATACAGTACGAACGATTAAAAAAGATTTTGACTGAATTCAAAGTTTATTTTCAGTATTTATGACCATCAATCTTTGTTAAAAAAATAAGCTTGTTTGTACAAGAAGATAATTATTTAAAAAAGAAAATATTGGAGCAATCTGAACACAAAATAGATACTTTATTGTCAGCGGTGACAAAAGGGCTTTCAACCTGGATGTTGTAGGTTTAAATTCTGCTTAAACTACTCCAGTTTGAGCAACTAAGTGACTTCAATAACCTTCACAGAAAAAATACGTCCATGATCTGAGTACACCAACCTGTACAGTGTAAATGAGCTAAGTGAAATTAAATTAAAAATCTATAAATAATTAGAAAGAAGGTAACCAACTTAAACCATCTCAATGTGACTTAATAGCCACAACTGTGCAGACATTTGAAATCATCTTGATTAAAACAATTAACTATGACATCAAACACCTTAGTAGACGAAAATTTACGACCTCATCGAAAGGTTTGACATATTTACCTAGTACCTTGTACCTAGACTCAATATTGTTCACTCAGCTGTTACATGATACCGGAGCGATGCGCAGAAGACATTAATGATAAAAAGCTAGTACTCTATACTTCTGCTGACATACGCCCTGTTCCGCACCCTTAAGAAAACGAGAGAGTGATAATATTCAGTACACCAGACATCTGGCCTACTCCACGAGTGAAAGAGAGCCTTTTAAATATTTGCAACGGTTCCATAAGACACCAACTCACTAAGACTGATGAAACTATTAAGTTAAATAGCAAACACGCTAAAATATATTACAATTTATGATAATTCTAGGTAATAATGCTAACCGATCCTGAAGTAGTATTTTCACTTAGATGAGTAGAAACACATCGCAAACATGCTTGAATTATCAAAATGTTCAGGAGAACGGATCACGTAACTAGCTTCATCATATACATACGCCATGTCAATTAGTGAGTTTCCGCGAAAAAAATCCACGAAAAGTTAGACGAAAAATCGTGATCTATAAGAGGAAGCTTATAAAAACATCAAATAAAAAGGGGATGGTAGCCAATGCTGACGACCATCATTTAACCGTTCCCCGTGAGCTGTGAATAGATCAATAATTTTTAAATAGAGACCCTTCTGTTATACCCTGATGAGAATTATGAATGGTAAATGTTGGGATCGATTTCTAGACCAATACGATGCATATATTTTTATTGTATAATTGTTAAGTAACTAAACTACTCATATTCGTGTTCCTCTTCTTATAAGCTTTATTTTGACCGATGAAATATTATTATAAGATTTACCATTCTTGAGTTATGCCCAGTCAATCAATTGCTATCTCTCATATTCACAACCACTTTTGGCTAGATCTTCTTCGAATGTTATTTTCTGTTTTATGGTACGATATGGTCTGTTTGGTTTGTATATAAACTCAGTATGTTTGAAATACATAATTCATATCGCAGAGGCTGAGATTGATGTTTTGGACTTAGCAGGCAGGAAGCAGGACCAATAAAGACTCTAGACTGCTCGTACGGGTTTTATGCGTCATTGGTCCAGTTGATAATTCACTGTTCTCTAATTGGCGGTATCACTACGTTATACATTGATAGGGGCACAAAGCCCACAAGTTATATACCTTCACAAAGTTTACATACTTCGTTGATACATTGTTTAGAAAGAAACAATGATACAAATTATGTCAGTCAACAGAGTTGAATGATGCCTTAACATCAAGAAATAAAGCCGCGTTTGAATGTCAGTAATACATCTATACGTTCTAAGACGTAAAGAATATTTAATCGACATCTCGAAGTTCAGGCCTGACACAAGTTTGGTTTATCCGATTATGATGTTCTCAAGAACCAGATAAGCGTTGCACAATAAAGAACTGAATAAGTAGTCCACCAGATGATAGAAGTGGGTATTAGGTAATACATACGCTTAAATGTTGCGTTAAATCTTCAGTCGAATCAACTAATGAACCATATTTACCAGTATTATTATTTCTGTTGTAAGAATATGACAGTTATGAATTATTAGGTTGATGCACAACGCTCTGAAGTTTGTAGTGATAAATACTAACCTCGAGTCTCACTGGAGTCAACAACACGGATTTAGGTACAAACAACCTAAAAATCTCAAATAAAATGAAATACGCATTCTGAACATCAATATTACATACTACGAAAATGTATTTGATAAAATATACACAATCTCAGTAAAACCATGAAACATTTTTGTACATAAACAAAGCTTACTTTGATTCTGTTTTGATTACTTCCTTGAGAAGTCAAAGTTTCTAAAAGTTCAGAATTTTTGTCCACAAAAGATGAAGATGTACTGATTGGATCGATTATATCATCATTATAATCTACATCAAGAGTACACTCTAAGTGTTCATATATTTCACCGTCATTAAAATCATTTTCTAAATTACAATCCAAAAAGGAATCATCTGAAACAGTCATACATATATCATATGGATTATCGACTTCCTGTAAATGATTGACTTCTTCAAGATTCGAATATTCGTCAACATCAAGAAAATTATTTGTACTTTGTCTAACTATAGGCTCTGAATAATCATCTTCAATATTTTTACTTAGCAAACTAGAATCTTGATTCATTTCTATAGGAGACATTTGATGATTATATTGATCTTCAAATATATTTTCATTTGAACAATTCATTTTCTGTAAGTTTTCGGATAGAAAAATATAAGGCAATTTGAAATGAAATTAAGTGTATCATAAATGAATAAGATAAGCGGTTTAAAACTTCAATACAATGAGTTTAAAATAGAGTTGTAGGAGGTCATCCTCAATGTATCTTCAGGACTTATAATCATAAAATTGCATTTGTATCTTATGCTCAAATGTCTACTTAAAATAATTAAACTAGTGTCATACTTACGACACCCTAGTTTACCAACAACAGGCTATAACTACTTCGTAGACGTAAACCTATTCCTATCCTAACCAGTGTAGCATGTCGGGTGACCGGAAATTATAGTCATCAGTTGTTTTCTTCTAATAAAACAGAATATAAACAATATAAAAACAAAAGGTTACTTGTGATTGACCACAAGTTGAGTCAATGAAATATCATTATCAACAACATTTTGTAGTTTTAAACGATCTAACCATAATTTAACACTCTAAAATAAAAAAAATAAAAATGAAAGAGACAGTTAGACGGGCAATGAACGTTTATATAATGATACTGAAACGGTTGAAAATAAATTTCCAAAGTAGCAAAAGCAACTAATATAATGCTAATCAGCAACCACGTACAAGGTAGAGAACTCAAATTCGGGATAGTGATATGGCATTTGAGTGATCAAACATAACTAGGTAGAATGAGATGAAAACCTGGGACACAATTGATAGGAATTAAGTGTTTTAAATAAGTCATCATAAGATCTACTAGGTAAAAAGACATTCTCTTTCTCTATATGTTACAAGTGACATATCTATCATTTGTACGATTATCACATGTAAGTAAATTGATAACAGTATATATCGATATTCAAAATAAATGGTGATCACAGAATTTGGCATACTTTCTTTTAAACTATACGTTGAGATGAGACCTATCACCATGACCTGATACCACTTAGTACTAGCAAATGCAGACAATCATTCTGTGAGGCTATATGTCCGATAATGCTGTAAAATTAACTAATATGTACGAAGGGTTGAGGAAACTTGGTTTTAAAAACGATATATACACACTGAAGTTAGATTTTTTTTTCCAAGTAAATAGACTTCTTAAAATAAAATATTTTCGAAAAAACAGTACCTGACTGAACTAGAACTTTTTAATCACCCACTCTTGATGAATCAGAATAATATCAATATAACTGTTTGAAATGAAGTGCACTTGTAAAAACGATAGTCTTAGTCGGTGACTAACAAATAACTTGGAAAAAATTGATTACAAGACTCAGTGCGGTAGAGATGACTCCAAATCAGTTTCGCAACTCAGTAATACAAACCAAATCATAAAATTATAAATATTTATATATAAATCGATGTACACCAATAAAAGTTAGCAACAGACATAACGACTACGTTGCAATTCACATTAATAAAAATACATACTTTACAAAATAACGACAAAGTGGTTTTTGTGATGATTCTTTTTGATGCTGAAAACTTTCCTTTACTAATATATGTGTTGAAAAAAGATAGCCAGTAGTCATAAGCGAAATTTCGTGTAATCTGGATAAAATCATTCAAACTAAGCTTAAATGAAGACGATATGGGAACGAAAAATCTCTTTTCTGACATTTTCAAGCATCCACTGACAAGATCTTTAAAAATAATAAGAAAAACATGAGACCAAACTGAGGTATGTATCAAAATTAGGATGATCAAAATGACTGAAAATAAGTAACAAGCTTTATTATCTTAACATTATTAAGATATGAAGCTAAAGTTGTCATTTTCGCCACTGAAGTGAAACCACGTTTAAGGTTTAAACTTATTTTCATTCAGAGCAGCTAGGGTAACCTATCCATATGACTAGATCTTAGGGTATTAACTTAGTGGTAAAACTGTTTAACTTCCAGTCACTCTATTCCAGCCTTGGACATACTCCCGTTCATTTTAGATCGCGCAACCGGATGGTATATATATATATATATATTTGACAAATGAATGATATTATTGTTTTGTAGGCATAGAGTTGTGCAGATTGTTGAGTTTCATTGAAATCATGAACCGATCAGTGTCAGACCACCATTGAAAACCTGGAAGTACTGGGTGGTTTTTTCTCCCTAATATGGGACTCTTCAGCAGTTTTCATGCACGGAAATCGGACCAGGGGCCTTCGATCTTATGCACGAACGCCTAATTTCCAGACTACAGGGCCGGTATCCAACAGTAATAATCCACAGTATTGCTCGATCATCTTCATCATTGGCTTTTTCACATCCTGAAAAAATGGTTAAAAGTCAGGTGTATGAATAGGTGCCCGGTTAATGAGTTACAGTGAATTCTTGAATCGATAATACGTGAATCGGCAGATTGGTCTATAGGACTTATCAACAACTAAAATCAAGTAGAAATGAATTCATTTAGTATTGTTTGCTTGAATATTCGCATACCAATGTATTGAAAAATGTCAGTGTTCTTGGGTTAGACTATGTATGTGCCAAAAGTGAGCGCTAAGCTTTCATACAAAAGATAGAAATCATATTATTTTAAAGGTATTTTTATATGATTCCGCTAACGAATAATAACTCATCTCAATTTTCTGCTAATTAAAATTTACGAAGAATGCAGTATGGTGTAAAACAGTTATGTGAACTGTATATTATGTAATATGCTCGAGTGTCATTAGAAAGCTCTATTAAACTTAAATGTCCCATGGCGTTTCTTTCTAAATTGTATCGATGTATCTTTCAATGAAAACAGGAGACCGATAATGGACAAATGACAAACCCAAGCTTGTATTTTTACATAAACAAATAATTAACGAAGTTGGTCTACGTTTTCCGATGAATATACAAAGCAACTAGTTAAGCATAAATATGAAGCAGCAATACAAAAAACAGCAAAAACAAACCGGGTACAATGTTTGACTCAAATAATTCATCCATGACATATGTAAGAATATATGAAAACATTTCTGAAAATGGAAGAGCTTTCTGTTCAGCCATTGAATTATCCAATGCTGTGTGGTCAATAGTTGATGAACTCTCTAATATGTCTTCCCCAGTTGATGGTAGGACAGAATGTTTGATAGTGGCGCCGTTTGAAAGTAATTGAAATTTCTCTGTAATTAAATTTGTTACCTAGAAATATTAAGCACAAAATATCTCTGACTATAGCAAAAAAGAAAGTTTTATAAGCGTTCTGGGCATCAGCAAGCTGTTCCATCGGAATAAAAATATAGAAAAATAATAATGAAGCTGACACTATATAAGTTTGATAATTGTACCTATTCTGTTCACTTTCGCTGGAGAATGGATATCGATTTTATAATAACCGGAACACATACATTATTTTGAACTAACGAACTTTAAAACAGAATACAACTCAACTCATATACCAAGTACAAATTAGTATACTTGGTTAATGATACTACCCTGCTTGCAAAAACCGAAGTAGGTGGAGCTGAGTTGGAACACGCAACTTAGTGGTCAAAAGTTAACCCAGAAATTCAGAGTCTAAAAACAGTACAGATAAATGAAAAAAAACAAAATGTATATCCAAATTGAGACAAGTAACTCATCGTTTAGTGTTCAGTGTGAATGTAAATAAGCTAGAACAATAGATTTCGATAAATGCTAATCTATGTATCCAGATGACAAGTTCCGAAAGTAAAAGAGCCCCATACAAAAAGTCTATATCTTTTGAATGATTTAAATCACAAGAGAACGACATTATAGGTATTCTCTCTATTAACTGGATTGTAAGCCAATACATTTAATTATACTATTGCAAGTAAAAAGATAGACAATTAAATAAACAATTAGGATCAGTAATAATCATAGAAACTCATTTTCGCTAAATTTAAGAAGCAAAAGTAAGTCGCTGAAATATTTATTACGAAACAACAAACATTAAACGATCAGAGTTTCTGCGATAAACATAACTGTTACATAAAATGACGAAAAAGAAACTAGGATATATTCTGACCTACTTTATTCAGATTTGATTCAAAATTGTCAGAATCATCAATGATAGGTGTTAAATGAATACCTGCAGATGCTGTCATTTTATCATTAGACATGGTTGTTTGACTGATACTACTACTAGTATTCTGATCCAACTTGTCACAAACATCTTTTGGCTCATCAGGGGATTTTTCAACAACAGAAATGTGCGTGAACAAATGTCGACCATTAGTGGCCAATCGTGGCACACCGAAATAACCGTAGGCCGCTAATAACTGTGAATTGATATAATCTCGACTGACTTGAGTTAAATTCCTACAGAGATTATGTTTAGGGTTAAAAGGATCTAGAAAAAAAACAAGCCGTAAAAATGTTAGAGGCATTGGACAAATGAATTAAAACAATCAAAAAATGAGTAAGTTGTATGTACGAATAAATTTTAAATATAACCAAATACAGAATACTTAAGAAAAGAAGCACAAACATTAAATTATTCTGATGAATTACCACGATAAATTTAACAGAACTATTACTCAAGGCTATACTTCAGAAGATGAACAACAAAGAAAAGGTACAAAAGTTAACTTATGAATCCCTCTAAAGCACCTTCAAACCTAGTGAAATCAGCGAGTGTATGATATTGTAACTAGATGTATACCAAAAGATATGACTATAAACGCGTACGAATTCGCAATTTCGGGTTGTGCTTTACCCACTTCCCATCGAAACAACCATTGATAAATATATGACGGCGATAAAACATGGTTGTATAACATAGTAATTCAAAAGATGTACGCAATTGGATGCTGGTTCAGTAGACTAAATACTATGCTCTCATCGTGAGGGCTGACAGTCCTGAGCCTTATCTTCGATGGAACAGTGTAATCACACTGCTGCGGAGTCCTATACTAAAACGGAACAGCTCTCCGGTACTTTCTAATCATCAATACTTTCTAAACGAATGTCGTCCCAGCGGACTCCATGTCTTGCATTATTTACCGACTCTGGGAACGGTTGGAAGAAGTGGAGAAGTGGTATGAAGGAAAGCTGTACAGGACTGGCTTCTGTTGGTCCTTCACGACTCCCTGATTGGGGTTCTAGAGATGGTGCAACACAGTGGCTTGAGACGTTATCAGACATGGTTCAGAATAGAAGCCAGTGACGATCCTACTGTAACTTTCTTCATAAAAGTGAACGTAACTTCTTTAACTGGCAGAATTCTTCCTGATCGTATTATTCTTAACTGAACTGTTTCTTTCATTATTATTACTACTATTATTATTATCTCACTCTCATACAATAATTTCAGTTCTTCATAACCTCATTGTTATTGTGTGGCGCATATGTATTTGGTGTCCCTTTGTACCAATATTTATGTGTTCATCTTAATGAACAAATAAATAAATGTGACACATCATTAATCAGTTTACCATCTTTACCAGTACCCTGAGTCTGGCCTCAACGTTTCTCACTCGATGGTCCCAGAATAAACGAGAAATGCTATAGAGGCATCTTAAATCAAACATTAGTAACCCACAAATATTCTCCATTCTTAATGGGTACATTTTATAGCCATAAAGCAGAACGGAACGAACTTCTCTGTTGTGCATTACTGTGTAATTTTCAATGCGAACAGATAAAACCTTTAGTAAAGACTTCAACAGATCGCATGAGCAAGAAAAAGTCACAATTAGTATGTAGATACAGGCTATTAATATCTAAGTGATATAATCAATCAGGATGATGACAATAATTGTTATTAAAAGTATCTTTTTTTAATAGACATAACTTTTCACTTTTCGAAAATAATTTAGGATTGATGAAAATAAATTCGATTACATATATATTTTAATTTACCGGTAACTGTAAAACAACGCTTTTCAGAAGCATTAAAACATGACACTGGTTCAGGTTCCACAACATTAATCGTACAAGAAGAAGTTTTAAAATCAAATAAATAAAATCTGAGGAAACCAAGCCATAAATCAGCTAAACATGGTAAATTGTTAGACGAAGATGAATCTGTGGAATGGAAAATGAAATATTTTGAATTTAACCAATATCGAAAAGAATGATTGTATTGTTATCAGGATTTACATTGATTATAACAAGAATTATTATACACTTCATTACCATAGATAATGTCACTATTTGAAATATGTGAGTAGAATGTGAAGTCGTCTTCAGGAATTACAAATCTACTACTGTTTAGACTTCACACACTGAAATATTTTATAATATCATTTCAACAATTAAACATTCATACTGGTGAAATCCAATTATTTTTATAAATGAAGAAAATATTAACATATGCTGAATATGTTCGATATAGGTTGAAGTGAATCGTAAGTGTGAATCACTCAATTTTAACTTACAAACTACCAACCCATCAACTGTGAGCTTATCGACTTAGCCTAGTTCAATGAATTAAATGAAATTGGATACCATATAGCACATTTTCCCTTTAATTTTGTCCACAAAGGCAACTAAAAAAAGATTCAATTCATCAGAAAAATTATACATAAAGAGGTATTTATTGCAGACAGAAATAAAAGAGAACACGATACACGCACACATACTGAAATGAAACAAGTTGTTATCTAATGATTTCACCATACAAATTATGATGCTTTAAAAATCAAATAACAGAAATTTACATGGTTGATCAGGACATAACTTTCGAATCAATTCAATGTCTGTAATAAACGAACAATCAGTATTGGGTGCCAAAACCTAAACAAAAAAAAACAAATATTAAGACAGAACATAAGCAAGCAGTATACCAGACCGAAATCAAATAAAACCACTTGATCAGGGTTTATTTTCAAGAATCATAGATCAGGAAAAAAAAAACATGAACAATTAAAAACGAAACTATGCATAAATAAATCACTAGGAATCTCTTAACAAAAGTTCTTTGAAATAATGTCCCTTGACATTACAACGAACACTTAAGTAATATGTTATTGAATGGATGTATTTATTTCAGGGTATTAAGTCATAGTATAAATATACGACTGGCTGAAAACACTTATATTTAGTTTTTTTTTAGGATGATTGTGTTGTAGCGGGATATCTTCGAGATGGCTTCGAATGTCTCGTATCTCACTCGTCCTGATAACCGTTATTACACAACTCCTAACAGTGTATAAATTTCAGAAGACAGTAACAAAGTGTCGACTACAGTTTATTACTGTGCAGTGCAAATCACAAAGCCACAAGGACACAAAGTGAATGGGAACAGAACTGAGAATGTGAATGAATACGAGCGAACCAATGCGAGAGAGAACCAGCGAGTGAATTGAGGCAAATGAATTGATGAGATGTGCAAGGCACACATATATCAGAAAGCGAATGAGTAATTGAACGATTTAAGCGTCTAACATTTAAGCTAGTGAGAGGAATGTAAATGTAGTCTGTAACACATGATCAAACATATATGGTCATGCAAACATGATAATCATAATAATAAGATATAGACGAGTTTTACTGACCGAATGACACTGTCTGTTAAATAAATTGATCGAAAAGCTGAACAAAATTAAAATCAGTTTTGTTCCTATTCGCATTGTGTCCTTGTGACTTTGTGATCTGCACTGCACAATACTAAACTGTAGTCAACATTTTGTTACTGTCTTCTGAAATTTATATACTGTTGGGAGTTGTGTAATAACGGTTATCAGGACGAGTGAGATGCGAAGATACTACAATACACCACATTAGGAATTTTTGAATATAAAATTTAATGGGAATCTCACGAAATTTTGCGGCTATCACTGATTTCTTGTGAAGAACACTTATTTAATTTTCCATTTCACAAGTCTATAAACATTACAATTAAATAAGTGACTGTTATTTAATAAAGTATAAAATTTTAGAATGTAATTGACACAAATGATTAGTGGATTACAAAAAAATCACAAATCAACAAATAATTCTATCTAATAAAGATAGTTCAATAACACTGTATGACTATTTTGCTTACCTGATGATAAGAATTTTCAGGAATTTCATGAAGATGTTGGCGGTAAAGCATATGAAGATTTGGAAGTGATGGAGGTTCACAATGTTGTAAGTAGAATATAACTAACAGAGGTATGACTGTTTCTTCAAATGTACCATTTTCCGGCATATCTAAATGGCCCAACTGGGAAAAAAATAGAAAGCAACAAAGTAAGTTAATAAAGTAATGGAAATCGGAAATGATTCAATATAAACAAAGAATGGGAGTTTTGTGTTCTGTTTTACAAAAAAATAAAACCAAACCAGTGATATGCAATATCTTGAATGATAATATTTTGAAAATGGTAATCACTTCTTAATCAGCTTTAATACAATAAACAATACTCAGATGAATCCAAGACTATGAACAGCAGTGAACTAAAACAACAAAAACAGGTCTCTTAGATGACAATGATACAAGGTACTCATTAAGTAGATTTACAATAACAATGACATCGTTTTATCAGCTCATCTATGTAGAACAGTAGTTGAGTAGTTAAATTTACAAAAAAAAGACCTCGAAATGAAGCTGGTTGACGTAACATAAAGCTGGAAAGAAACAAAACGAAAAACAGAACCATTCTATGGAGCTCCTGACTTTCCCTTTAAGCTTTTTATAAACATACAGATCGGTTAGATACCTAAAGATGATATAAATCAGATATCTGTTTAAAGATCAATGTTCACAAAGTCAGTCATTTATGTGAAACGCAGAACCTGGCAAATGTGAACATCAGCGCAATTTGCCACATCTTATTCGTATAAAGGATAAATTAAGGTTGGAACCCGTTCAGAGACGATTTACACTAAGCATTCTTGGGAATGATCGTACTTTAAATCATAATCCATATATAATTAATACAGACTCGACGCTTTATAGAAAAGCAAACAATTTAATCTTTTTCTTTAAAACACATAATAAACTATATTTTACATCTAATGAATTAAACCAATATACAGAAACTCCTAGAAACAACATCCACAACTATTTGTCATTAGTGAAACAATCTCATTCTAAATCTTCTCTCTATATGAATAACTTTACTAGTAAATTTTCCAAACTCTAGAATAATTTACCACAATTTGTTCGTGAGATAAAATCACTCCAAGCTTTTGTGAACTTAATCCACGCTTACTTTTATTCTGAAAATGTTTTTAATGTGCTTACACCTCTAAGTATATCTTGTTCCACAAATGCTATTTATAGGAACTCTAAATGTATAATCGTTTTTATTACTAAGCCCACTAATTAAACATTCCTAGTTGCAGATAATTAACACTAACGTTGTCCTTGGTAAATTTAACTAGTCTGAATAATATCTAACCCGAACACTAGATCACAAAATATTGTGATAGATCTGAATAAATTATTGACCTATCGAGGTAATTATTGCTTTCGTTTTTCCGTGCACCTTGTTTCCGTTTTATTTTCCCTAGCTGTAGATGATTATAATTAATTCGTTATGGTACTAGAAATGATCTTAAATACACCGTTCATACGCCAATAGTTCTCGGCGGATGCCTTTCATTAATGTAACACATGTGAAAAATCCACTGCCTAAACAACTTTTTAACTACAACACTTCAAACAATCGAATATTCTATATGTCCTGTGCATTTACTACTGCTATCTATATTTAGCTGATGATGCCTGTAAACTGGTGTGAATTCTGTAATTATTATTTTCCGAATGTATATATATTATATTGTATTATTAGCACAGTGAAATAAAATTGTCAGGGTAAATCCCAAAGTGATAGATGTAGAGACAGTATTGGTGGTAATAAACAATATTAGGCACAGAAGATACAAGTCAAGAAGGAAATATGGATTAGTGGAATAGAAAAAAAATTTTAATCTACACGTAAAATTAGAAACTTAGGATTTGAAGGAAGGCAAACAGTGAATGCACCTACGACACTGTGAAACATTCTGAGCTGTGTCACTCAAAGTTTCTAGCTGTTTGTTAGGATAATCACGCGTACCCTAACCATGGACTTTGCGTCTACACACAAGACTCAGCACAACAGTTAATGTCTTCATAGACTGGTCATATGACATGGTTTGGCCCCCGGTAGCTTTCTCAAATCTACTCCTGTACCAGCCATTACCGGATATTCAGTAATATGTCCTGACCATCTCAGTCGATAAGGAATCACTACAACATCAATTAACTAGCTATCTTTATCTAGTACCGCATGTCCAACAAAATATCGCTAACACAATGGTGGTCAGTCAGTCAGTCAACTTGGTCTCGTGTGCTGTTACGGGTATGAGGGCTGATGTCACTTCCCGGCTGCTCACACCGTGGAAGGGTATTTCTTGAGGAACCTGAAAAGTAAATTGGATTAGTGTTGGCCTGAACGACCTGGGAGCGTGACCGCAGAGCTCAAGCGACAACTGCTTGAGGCCGGTTGCGCACGGCCTTTCTGTGGGACGCTTTTAATGTGTTAGCTCCGTTCTTCAAAGGGCCTTACCGCCGGAGACGGAAATCCGTGAGGTAAGGTGAGGTGTGACATTTTTAGGGTCGACCTTTTCTAACCCCACCCCTCCTTGTGGGAAGGCAGTATGGCTGCAGATGCTGGTTTTCCGAGGGAAACACCTTATCGTTATCACACCCCTCTACAGTCAGCAGTACGACTTCGCCCTCAGACCTTGAGTTGCTGCTTTTAGTCTTACCGTTCTCCAATCGACCTGCCTGGCATGGTAGAACCTACGGGAACATGTGTTCTAGCCTACATATCTCGGTTGGATCGTCACGATACGCTAGCCCGACCACCGCGTCAAGGTAGCAGATACGGTCGGACGATGATGGTCATAAATGAATTTAGTATTTAAAACTATCTAGAATATAAACTCATGCAGTCATTCTATTTACAACTTATGATAACACAATTACCAACAACCACATGAGCGCAGGCAAATAAAATAACAATTTTCTCAAAAATTAAGATAACAAATTAAAACTAAAAATATATCGATCACGAAGTAAGTAAATGCATTGGTTATGTTATGAACAAAACATTTAAATCGTTACCCTACCCTGTATGAAAGTTAAAACAAAAACAACGCAAAACTTAATTAATTGGTAAGTAAAACTCTCATTCTAGGACAAAACGGCTGTTCAGTGTTGAAAGGTCTTCGATGGTGTTCTAACAATAATCGGTTCATGATTTCAGTGAAACTCAACAATCTTCACAACCCAATACTAATAAAATAAAATTATGGTGTGTTTTTACTTTGGCATTCACGTAATAAATGTGACTCACGGTCGAGTATATGGATTTGTACTAGGTTTTTAAGTGCCTGGAGTGAAAATGTGCATAAAGTATTTCATTATCTAAGCACACTACATTAATAGGTATCTAACAATTATACAAACATAAATCTGATAATATATGAACTTAATTTAACAGGTAACCGATATACCTTCTATAAAATACAGATTCATTCATCATAGTTAACGAAATGAACTGAATTTGATGCTGTTTTAAAAAGACTATCGAAATTTACTAGTCATTTAAAGCTTTAAGTCTTTTGATGCACAAATCAAGACACTACACTTTTGGATGACTTACATTTTCATAGGATCCAGTTTCAGTAAAGAGATGAATATTTCATCAGTAAAGACTATAATATAAAATATGAGTTCAAAGAGGCTTAAGATAAGCATCGCAGATGAATGCCAATACATGAGGAATCTTAACTTCCTTGCTTCGAAATAACTGCTTCCAACAAAATTCTCAAACCTTACAGATTATCAACCTCATAGGAAACTATTACAATTCAGTAATGACACAAAGAACAAAAAATATTATCCATATGAAAATAAGTTTATAAACATACCCGTGATAATTTACGAAATAATATTGCTAATTGTCGAGCTTGATCATTTAAATTGAGGTAAGTATTAATCAATTTGGCCAAATCATATCCATACGGATTACCAGTACTAATACGATAACGTACACCATAGAAATCCGTCAGAGAAAGATAAAAGTAGTCACCACTTGTACGCAAAACACTAATGTAAACAAAAATAAGACAAATAATAGTATTATGATGACTGATTACTAATGTACTAGAGAAACGAAAAATTCGCCATTAAAGCAGAATTCAGTTATTTCATACAATAACTAGTCATCTATACTACAGGCTAATAATAATGGATTATATGGAGTGCAGGTTGGAGATTACTAGTCGGTCGCCTGTGCTCCACGAGAGGTAACAGGCTTAAGCAAAATGTCATAACATCGAGCGAGTGTTAATGAGTATCAACTACTATCGGCTTAAGCGTAGCAACTGAGTTACACTGTTTATGGTCATATTACTATTATTATACGTATTTCTATTCTCACTGTGACCATTACTACTGTGATGCACACAACATATGCTCATAAATTTAAGTAGTATGTAGCAGCAATCGGAAGTGGAACGCTTGCTAGAGGAATATTGAATTAAAGAGAAGAGGGAGCGAAACAGAGAGCTATCGTAATAACAGAATTGAAAGAATCATGAAGTACGCAAACTACAACTGAAGGAAAATGCGCAAATAATGTAGTTGATGTATCATTTTCATATTTTACAAAGGCACTGAGTAATTTCGTATACAACAATAATTTGGTTTTCACCACATGAGTTCTCGTTCATTGCACTGCTTTATATCAGCCAGAACAAAAAATAACGATTTGTTTAATCGTTTTACGATGTAGTCTTAAAGTGCTTAAGCCATTAACAGATAGGCCAAGAGATAATAGTTCTATTCAATGAATAGAATAACCTCCTACAGCTCAAGGCTTAAATTGGAATTATCTACATGCTAGATAGTAATTCCACAAGAATTTGGTGATAAATGTTTTATCAGTAAATTGATGTCCATTTAACCATCGAAATTACGATGCCATGTGTTCATGAAAGATCAATGATTAAATGTTATTATAAAATGAAGAAAAACATGATAAGCGGTAATGGTTAAATTGTGATAATATTTTGTACTCTCTAATTAAAAATCTCATGTATATAACCTCAAAGGAAATAAATTACTCGTAAGTGTGATTCGTACACAGTGAACATTATAAAAATGTTTCTATGGCCTTCAATAGAATAAACTGATGAAGAATTTTAAATCCACTTTGTTTTGCAGAAGCTACGGACATTATTCATTGCTGACTTGATACATATCCACAGAAGGCGAGCTCGACTAATCTTCATATCCCAGAGACCCCAGTTTTCTTTAATCATCTACCGATCACATAATCTTAGTTTCTTATCAACCCACCGGCTTTAACTCACTAAGTTAGTTTCATCCTAATTATGTAGTTATCAAGAAAAGCCTATATATATAACTTCACTTTGAAATGTATATTTCAGTATTCGCATCCTCCCTTGTGAAATCTTTTGCAAACACCATCAAAGTTTGAGGGTAAATATTAATTCGCGATTGTTATTGCGAATAGCAACACCTATAGAATAGCGTATCGTCTTAAGGTGATATACAACTAACTGATATACAGAAACAGAAGCTTGACAAAACTTAATAACACGAAAACAGATTAGCAAAAAAATGACTAAACAGCAAAGAAGATTTAGATTAAAATAAAAGGAAGGTTAATCTGCATAGTTATTATTATTAAACAATGTACACATGCCATAGAATATGTGATCAAAATCACTACATTACCCATGTTCAAATTATTTTCTGCTTATACAACTGCGGTGCTAACTAGGAGATAACAAACAGGATCTGCCGTCAATTACTTAAAAACATTTGAGTCAATTGTGAACTTGTCTTTGTCCTATGATATACAATAGAATAGTCAGACTTTATCTACTTCACTGAATTATCGCAGTTCAACAATAGTAACTTTTTAGGGCTGAACATTCATCATCACCATAGATGTGAGCGCATTACCAAACAACTACCTATGAATCTTAATTTATCAGTGAAGAAGCGAACAAATACAAGGTCGTTGATAAAATGAACAAAACAGCTAACATACATGTAATAATAGCACAACAATCGGCAATAATCATTTACACTCTGGGTTAGAAAAAATAGACCATAAAAAAATATCCAGAATAAATCTCATATGCCACCTCCTCTCAAAGTTTATGATATCGAAACTACTTAACGCAGTATTTACAAAGTCGACAAAACCATCCTCCTAAACTACAAATCAACATTATTATATTAAGATTATTACTTAATACGGGATTTACCCCATGTGGTAGATACGTTTTTAGCTTTGGTCATTAAAACATGAAAGCACGAAAGAACCACAAGGATAACTATAAAAAAGAATAAGACTATCAAAGGGAAAATCGATAATGATAATAAACATACGTATGAAATTTGGGGAAATTAGGTTTGTCGGATAATTCATTCATTTTTGTATTGTGATCAGGAGAACAGTTACACGAGGTAGCTTTTTCGGAAATTGTTTGTATGCGTGGTGTGTTAGTTGGTGATTCACATGCATTCAGTTGTAATAAATCGAATATATTAGAAAGAACATAACCAATTCCCATTGATTGTTCAGTGTTATTTGTTGACTGACCACATACAGGCTGTGGAATAGACTGATCATTATCATCATCGTCGTCATCATCATCATCATGAACATCATTATCATCGCCCTCTTCGTCACCGTCGTTATCTTCACCAGCATCATCCATTGTCGGGTCCATTGCTAGTAATTTATTCTCGTCAAAATCATTTGGAGAAATTACATCCAATGAACAGTGGCTATCTGGTAAGGCTAAACCAAACCAGGAACTACCAGTTCCTCGAACTTTTATATCTAAGGATTGACATTTTTTAGAGATAAACTAATTAGGATAAACATGAAATTCGAAAGACTGGTTATCTCAGTTAAAACATTATTGGTCACTCATTTTGTATTCTTCTAGAAGTAGGATTATTATTGATTCTTGAGATAGAAACCCAATGACTATCATACTCTTTAAAGTGATCACATTTTTATAATTGAAATGACGAAATGATCTTAGCTAGACTATAACTGAAAACCCGGGAGCGCTAAAAGGCCTTTTCATCCTATTATGAGACTTCTCAGCAGTACACCTCCACGATCCAGCACACATGGGTCGGGCCCAGGATCTTAGGTCTCGCGTGCGAACACTTAACGTCTAGAGGATTGAGCCGTTATCCAATGATGTTAGTGTATAACTTTAATCAATGTATGATTTCGCTCAATCCTTCATCATGTTCCTCCGATCTTAACATACTTTGTATATGATTGAATTTTTATCTTTATTAGTTTGTAAGAAATGAGACAATTTGAAAACATAGACTGTTATGAGCTTCCATATATGACTGTTTATCTGTACCTGAAACAACATGGCTTGATATATGGTATTTTACGTTTCAATTGCTAACCAAGATAAAATCAACTTAAACAGTTGTTGGAAATGAAAACAGATCTATTTAAACAGGTGTATTAATGATAGATAGTGGCTAGCAGTGGAGTCTAGGACACGCGTTTCGTCCTACTTGGGACTCGAACCCAGTAACATTCGCTTCAAACGCCGTCGCATTATCCACTCAGCTACTGAGTCCTGATAGCCACTTGCTTGTGCAATGGGGTGAATTAAAATCCACTTGGTATTTTTTGGCTTGTATCTCCCCATTGAGGTTTAAGACTGTATGCACATATGCCAATAACAGACTGATCAATTACAGTCTTAAACCTCAATGGGAAGATACAAGCCAAGCAATAACAAGTGAATTAGGTGTATTACTTTCACCATATTAAATTTTGACTTAATTTTCACAGTTTTAAAGTTAAACCCATACAAAACAAAAATATTCCACATTACTTGGAATTCGAGCTTCAATAGCAGCAATCAGATCATTTGAGAAATTCTGTCGTCGCTGCATCTCACAGGTATCGGCCACAACAGAAAGAAAAGCGGACTTTAGTTCTGAATCTAACGCAGTTCTATGGGAATCCGTGATGGGAGGCAAATAAAGAAGAGTTGTTTTTAGTTCAGCGGTCTAGAAGTAAACACAAATTCAAAAATATATGATGCAGTTCATCATCTTATTGTTGAAAAAAACTAGGACAGAAATCAGAATGACATCTTGAAATTAAAATTGTTACTAAATTTATTGTTTTACACAAGATTATTATAGTAAAATCTTCAAAAATTAGACGCGTCCAGTTGGTTTGATCTTAAGGTGACTTTATCACAAAGAAAGCAGCTTGTGGATCACAAATAAAGGAAACGTTTCCAGGAAAGTGTACCGAGTGCAAACTCAAGTACTTGGGCTTTGAGTTTCATAAGTTAACCTTGATTAGGTGTCTAGAATTCTCTTTATAGTAAATTCATCGATAATATGCGAATGGGTTTTCAGTTTCAAGAAAAACTGACAACGGATTAATTGCTCCTATTACTTCGATTAATAATAATTTTCATATAAAAATTCGCCTCTAGCTCACCGTTACTAATGTTTTATGATAACAACTTACTCCAAGGAAAATGTCATTGCAATCACATTGAATGTGCGTTTGCGGATCTATATGACAACTCCCTGAAAGACTGATTATGTTATGAAGTGATAATACCCCGTTGTTTAAGCCGAACTAGGTGGGGCAAAATTAAAACATGGACACGATGGCAAAATTCTTATACCGTTTGTTTCCCAAAATCAAATTCGATTATCAATAACATCAAAATCAAACAACTACATATAATGATCTGACTTCTACCTGTTAACTCCACAGTATAAGTTAATATGATAATCTTAAACGGATGGTGACCGTGCATACAAAAGATGTTTCAGTAATATCACGAATAGAACAATGACAGTACTGTAGAAAAACATAAGTCCCAATATTACATATTCTGAGCTGTCTTTTTAACAGTTATGTGTCGTGCTACACATAAAACCCTTGTGATACTTAACTGACTTCTAGGCTGTTAGAACAACAAACTTTCTCGAAAATTTGCAACGAAATTAATCCAGGTACACCATCCAAAGCCTATTAACGCTTACAAAAGAAGTCAATGCTGTGAAAACTTTTAGAAAATGACCCAAAATTACCAATTATTTATGTACTCGGCTAACCAGATTGGTAAAAACAAAGATATACTGTTTTGTGGTTTACTTAAGAATCTTAACTGACTAAAAGGTGCTCCGTGCACTTTCATTCTACTATAGGTGCTTTATTATTACCATAGATCATAATACTACTGGAAATTTCAAACGGAATTAAGAATAAGTTTGGAACTATGGTCCAGTGTCCGAGAATCAATGATATATAAATGATGGGTTATTTTAATGATCAATGATATATACAACAAACACATAGTTTTAATCTACCGAAACATTAAAGTGTGGACTGACGGAAAATAATCCACAAATCTGTTAGTGCCCTGTCTAAAGATTTGTAGGTAGGAGACATATTACATCTATTCACCCGGCTATTAACATCACAGGGAAAAAAACAAAATCAGTTTAAGTCCATGAAACTGCAAAAACAATGAATCTATTCCTTAACCCTTACCATGAGGTTCGCATTATGAGAATTCGAAGAGGTATGGTGAATAGCTGCAGCAACCGTAGACATGACCATTCCACAAACATTGCATAAAAGTCCACATCTCTATGATAAATAAAATGAGAACGTAATATAAGGAAAAAAGGTCTTACCATTTATATTAACAATTGATACTATTCCATTAGCATTACGATGTTAGATTAGTAAATCCACTTAATTATAATACATTTTATCGCTAATTTAGAACGAGTACCTCTCAATATTCTGTAAACATGATACAAAGTGTGTTATCCAACTAACGAATGTGAAACTATTTAATCAGACTGTGATGTAAAAGTCATATATGAATACATTTGAACAGAAAGTTTCTTTACACTACTACAAATTTTTCATAGAAATTACCCAATAAAATATTTACTTAACATTTAAACGCAAAAATTATTCATTGTGAAAATAATTTCATAATAAACTGAACACAACTTAAAGAATAAGAAATCTAAGAGAGAAAATGTTGGCATGTATTTCATTTCAGTACAAAAACTTTCCTTTAGTAACCAAGTCCTTTAGGTATGATGAGGGTTTTCAACCTGGCTGCAGTTCATGATGTATATTATCTTCAAATCAATAGGGTCTAAATGGTCATAAAACCTAAATTTGAACAGTTAACCACAAAAAGAGTTTGCAAGCATCACGGCCAAGATTAGACTTGATTTTATCTATTTATTTGTTTATTTGAACACATAAATACTAGTACAATGGGGCACCAGATACATATGCGCCACACAATAATAATGAAAATGAGAAGAGATAAAGAATGTAAGGGGCGTATAAAAGAAAAGAAGAACAATAACGACGAAAAATTAGCGTGTAGTAGCAAAATAATAATAATGGGGGAAACAGAAAGAATTGTTTCAGTCAAAGAAGTTACGGCCGCTTCTCATGAAGACAGTAAAAGGTTACAATGGAACCGCCACTAACTTCTGTTCTAAATCATGTCTGATAACGTCTCAAGCCACTGTGTCGCACCATCCCTAGGACCTCAGCCAGAAAGTCGTGAAGGACCAACAGAAGCCAGCCCTGTTTAGCTTTCCTTCATACCACGACACCATGTCATACACCGACCACCTCTGCCTTTTCGGGCCAGTCCCAACGTCGGCAAATAAGGCAAGACATGGAATCCTCCAGGGTGACATTCGTAGAACATGTCCAAGCCACCGAAGTCGGTGTTTCAAGATGGTGACACCAACAGCATTATCGTCACTGTGCCCGAACACACGATGCCACTGTATGTGAGCAATCCTTCAGAGACAACGATGATCAAACACAGTCGTATAACATCCTCAACTCGAAGAGGTCAGATTTCACAAACATAGAGCAAAACTGCTCTCACCGACGCGTTGTAGGTCCAACCTTTCACAGTCATACTAACATCACGAAGGCACCGAAGATGGTCCAGATTGTCATAAGCCGCTCTAGCTTTCACTATACGTGCATTGATCTCATCACTCACGCCACCATCAGCACTTATGCAGCTACCTAGATATACGAACTTCTCGACTACTTCTACCTCATCACCATCCAGGGTGAGTGCAGGATTAGAATCCTGCCAGTCTTGTAGAAGTACTTTGCACTTCGAAGGTTCAAAGCACATAACATACCTACGGACACTGATTGCTAACTGATTAAGTGAGGATTGCATGGCTTGGGCATTATCGCACAGTAAGATAATATCATCCGCATACTCAAGGTCGAGAAGTCTTTCTCCAGGCAACAGATCCACACCGCCATTACTTACATCCATCAGAGCTGTTTCCAAAATGTCATCGATGGCAAAGTTGAAGAGGAATCGTGAGATTGGGCAACCCTGCCTAACCCCAGTGCTCGAATGGAACAATGGAGAGAGGTGGTTGTATGCCCTCAATCTGCCTGAGGTGTTTGTATATAGGGCCTTTAGGATGTTAATAAACTTCTCAGGCCCATCCTTCTCTAATAGACAATCCCAGATAACAGTCCTGTCCAATGAGTTGAAGGCAGCCCTGATGTCAAGAAACACTACGATTGTCGGTCTGTGACAAGTGTGACGGTGTTCTAACATTTGGCGGAGGGTGAACATATAATCAATACATCCTCGACCAGAATGAAAGCTATTCTACTCCTCATTAGTCAAACTTTCTTGAGTTGTGAACAACCTACGAAGTACGACAGAAGCCATAGCTTGGATGCAATCGGAAGTAAACTTATCCCCCGATAGTTGTTACAGGAACGACGTGAACCCTTTTTAAAGATAGAAACAACTATCGACTCATTCCATGATGTTGGAACACTCTCTAGCTCCCAGACCTTTGTAAACAACGTATTCATTTCCTTAACCAGAGTCACCACCATCTTTAAAAAGAGCCGGAGGTAAGTCATCTGGTCCAGGTGATTTGTAACGCTTCAAGAGTTGGAGTTCCTTAAGGACTTCCGCCTCGACTGGTGAATCAGTCGTTACCGGCCATGGAGGGCAGGACAGTCTGGCCGATGTTGCCGGAGCAGCAGGCCAGTTGAACTGCCCTTCGAAGAATTCTGCCCATCGTCCATGATGTCGATGGGTGTTAGTGATTGGCATCCCGTCATCCTCACAGATTGTTTCGCTCACACTAGACTTCTTGTTGCCAGTGACTCGGATGAGTTGGAAGAGCTTCTGGTGGTTACCAGATGCAGCTACTGCTTCCAGCTCATTAGCACGCTCCGATTACCAGGCTCCTCGGTCCTTACGCAGGCTTTGCCCAGTTTCATTACGTAACAGCCTTCATTTGTGGTCAAACTCATGATCACCCGGAGAAGACCGACGGGTCTCAATGAGTTGTAAGGAGCCTGAATAAACACAGTGCTTATAAGCGGAACGTTTCGCAAAGCCGCAAGCAACTTTACTCACCATTTTGATGGCGTCATGCAATTCCAACCAGTGCTCATCTATACTTTTCGGTGGGATGTTAGCTAGCCTAGAAGCTAGCCCGGTTCGGTAATTAGTTGCGACAGAATACTTAGTTGCAACAGAGATACTTAGTTGCGACAGAAATACTTAGTTGCAACTTGATAGTTTCAAATAAATTGAGCTCTGGGTAGAAAGTTAATCAAAAATATTGTTTTGCTATATCCCACTTCTTCAGAGTGGTTTACATTAAGTCATGAAACGTCGGAAACATAATTTTCTATTGATTGGGATAAAGCAAAAGATATACCTATTTTTAACAAAGAATGATTAGAATAATTATGTTCAATAAAAGCTGTCTATTACGATTGGTAATAATATGTCTCAAGGTACTCATTACACAACCAACTTACACGTTTCGTTTTAAGAGGTTCTATATGGTTTTTATTCAAGTATTCAAGTTCCTCTGATGATAGACCTATAATAGTAATAATAATAACAAAGAGGATGAAACAAAAACATTTACATTTGCAAAGTAATTGTCCACCATAAAGAAAATAAATAGCTTCAGTAAAATTAATCTCTGTTAGACAAAATGGATGATCTTCATTGTCACACCTCTGTATAGTGGTTGACTTATCTATCTAAGAGACTAGTATAATGACAATGGAAAAAACATTGTTTTACAAGATCCTTCCCTTTCAGAATGGACATTTGATGGTCAATAGTAGTTCACACAAAGTGAAGAGAAACAGATACATTCAAGGCCTAGACAAAAGTTCACTCACCCTCTGATAGACCATAAAACAATTGCCAACACGTATTCTTAATTTTAGTTTTTGGCATTCAATTAGATCGAGAAGTCCCTTAGCAGTCCACCTCACTACGAAAGAATTGTCAAGCGTTTAATCTTCTAGATTGTGTATTTAAATACTCGTCTTGCATGATCTTAAATGACCACAATTTCTACTGCTTTCATGTATAACATATTTCTCTATCATATATGGGATGAATAAACAACTAGAAATAAGAATTTATATATCATAATTGATCTGATTATTCTACACGTTTAAAAGATCGTTTAACGACGTAAAGCAACGACACAACAAGGAATTAAATTAATTTAATTTGAATTTTTAAATGACTGTAACTACTTTCCTTTTTCAGTAGCGTGTACGAAATCTGATGACATATACCACATAAGGAACAAATGAAAATTATAATATTTAAAACCAGGATAATAATGGCTTGGGGCTAAATCTTAACGATAAATTCAGAGTAGGTAAGCGGGAACACAATATTTTATGCTCATCGCTATCGGCAAAAACACTATAAAAACTACAGAAATCTGTGACATGTCAAACAAAAACCACAAACAATAATATCAACTTGAAAACTTGCGAGTATCCATAATCGCATCGCCTTTCAGATTTTGGTCACAACTTGTACCACCTTGTTTTTGATAAAATAAAAGTGATCAGGGAAATGACGAGCAATAAATACTTGGCCGGGAAACACATGTTTTTTGTATCATTTTAATTAGGAAACCATTAGATGAAGATGGTACTAAAACCTATACAAATGTGAAACTTGTCAGCACAAGTGTTGGTTAACTGTATTTTGCTTCAGATAAGTGATGTACTTAGATGCATTAATGTTTACAATCTACTAGCCCATACCAATAACCCCTTTATTGTAACACGACATGAAGAATTCTGCAGATTAGAATTTGGGAGAACACAAAGAGTGAATGCACCTGCGCCATTGCAAACGATTTTGAGCCATGTCATTCAGGGTCTCTAACCATCGGTTGCTATCATCTCGCGAATCCCAACTAGTTAGTCTGCATCTGCCAACACGGCTCAATCTACTTGTCAGTGATTTCATGCATTTGTGCCATGTTTTGGTCTGACCACCCCTAGCTTTCTTCCAACCTACTCCTACACCAGAAAACATCACACGTCAGGGCATTCTATGGTTGGGCATACGTAAACACATGTCCCAGCCATCTCAACTGATGAAATTTCACTACTTCATCAATTGATTTGCCATCCTTACTTAGTACCTGTTTCCTAACAACTGTATTACTTACTCGGTGTTCGCAGGATATGCGAGCAATGTTTCGAAGACACATATGATCGAATACTGGTAACCTACGACATCGGTATATTCTAAGTCAACAAGTGAATCTCCTGGTAGAAGTTCAACCCCTGGAAATTCAGATGAGGAAAGTTTCATCTCTAAAAGCACGTCAACGACAAAGTTAAACAAGAATGGAGAGAGTAGACAGCCCTGACGAACACCACTTGAGGTAATCAATTCTGATGACAGTTTTCCATAAGTTCTCATTCGATCAACAGAGTCGAATGAAGCCTTAAGGTCGAGAAATACTACGATTGTGGGGCGTTTGAACGTGTGTCTGTGTTCTAGAACCTGATGTAGTGTGAATATCTGATCTATACGACCACATTCAGGTAAAAAAAACCAGCCTGGTTTTCTCTAGTCTGCTCTTCACGAGCTTTAGTTAGGCGTCGAAGTATTATTGAAGCTAATATCTTAGACACTATATTAGTCAAACTGATTCCTCTGTGATTGTCACAAGAGGGCTTTTGTCCTTTCTTATAGACTGACACAATCAGTGATTGAGACCAGTCAGATGGAATTACGTCCAGTTCCCAGATTCTACCTAAGACCTCAGTTAATCTCACTGCTAAAACTGGACCACCATCCTTAAAGGTCTCAGGGGTAAACCTGCTGCTGTCCCATGCTCCAGGTTTTTTGTAGCTTTTTCAACTTCATAAAGAGTTGGGGTCCTACATTAACTTGCCATTCGGACACTGACGATTATTCAATTCTTGTCACTATCTTGAAACATCGACTTCGGTGGCTTGGACGTCAGTGTATGGCATGGTATCATGGTATGAAGGAAAGCTGTACAGGACTGGTTTCTGTTGGATCTTCACGACTCTGGTAACTGTAACTTTCTTTTACTACCTGGTTGGGGACCGCGAGATGATAGCAACCGATGGTTAGAGACCCTGAATGACATGGCTCAAAATCGTTTGCAATGGCGCAGGTGCATTCACTCTTTGTGTTCTCCCAAATTCTAATCTGCAGAATTCTTCATGTCCCTTCCCTTTTTTTCTCTTTCCAAATTTATTTCACTGTATTATAATCCTTGAACAACATCTTCAAACACCAATCTTTCCGATTATTGCTTATACTCTTACTACACCTACCACAAAGGGATTTGAGTCGACAACTGCATCTTTGTGCTACTGTGGTATGGCAACTTGAACTGATGTACATACTTACAAAGTTCTACGTTGCTACTGACTGACTGACTGTGCTCGAACGCACGACGTTGAACCACTGTATTACAAACATGATGTTGCCACTGTATGTGAGCAATCCTTCAGAGACAACGATGATCAAACACAGTCGTATAACATCCTCAACTCGAAGAGGTCAGATTTCACAAACATAGAGCAAAACTGCTCTCACCGACGCGTTGTAGGTCCAACCTTTCACAGTCATACTAACATCACGAAGGCACCGAAGATGGTCCAGATTGTCATAAGCCGCTCTAGCTTTCACTATACGTGCATTGATCTCATCACTCACGCCACCATCAGCACTTATGCAGCTACCTAGATATACGAACTTCTCGACTACTTCTACCTCATCACCATCCAGGGTGAGTGCAGGATTAGAATCCTGCCAGTCTTGTAGAAGTACTTTGCACTTCGAAGGTTCAAAGCACATAACATACCTACGGACACTGATTGCTAACTGATTAAGTGAGGATTGCATGGCTTGGGCATTATCGCACAGTAAGATAATATCATCCGCATACTCAAGGTCGAGAAGTCTTTCTCCAGGCAACAGATCCACACCGCCATTACTTACATCCATCAGAGCTGTTTCCAAAATGTCATCGATGGCAAAGTTGAAGAGGAATCGTGAGATTGGGCAACCCTACCTAACCCCACTCCTCGAATGGAACAATGGAGAGAGGTGGTTCTATGCCCTCAATCTGCCTGAGGTGTTTGTATATAGGGCCTTTAGGATGTTAATAAACTTCTCAGGCCCATCCTTCTCTAATAGACAATCCCAGATAACAGTCCTGTCCAATGAGTTGAAGGCAGCCCTGATGTCAAGAAACACTACGATTGTTTGCCTTTGATAAGTGTAACGGTGTCCAAAACGAGAGGCAGTCTTGTACAAAACCATAGCATTAGGGTTTTACAAGTCCCCTAAGTGGACCCTCTGTATCCACTAACCCTGTTAGAGCGTCGGACATTCTCGTTTTGTCCTCTCGATTTCATCAACATTAGCCATGCCTCGAGAAGGCTGTGAGTATGACTTCCCTGTCATTGGCTGTATACACGTGTCCACGTGAGAGTAATTTGGTAGAGAGCTCTTTCTCCCCACAGTCGACCGTGCTAGGGTATTTGGGGATGTAGATCAGTGGTGTCTGATAAACGTTGTGCAAATGGCATGATATTTATATTCATATATGTGAATTCTCTGTAAGAACGCTATGTGATTAAATATTATTACATGAAAGACATCGAAGATAAAAGATGAAAATTACCATCCATATTTGCTTCTTTATTTTTCTTATTTCTAGTATTGGTACCCATAGTAATTTAAAACCTGGAAGTTTGATAAAAAGATTAAAGCGATAGGATATTTGATCCCAAAAAAAGGATGGCTGAAAATGCAAATGATATAGAGAACAGGATCTACTACTTTCAAATCGTTAAAAGACATCATGAGTATTAAGATTTTGTGAAAACGTAATGAATCATAGTCCATTTAATTCATTGATTACTTATAAACCCGAAGATGTTTCATTGATTGTGAACTGAAGTGAGGAGAAACAAACGGAAAAATTATCGCAATCGAAAAGCATTTTTTTAAAAACCGATTCCCCAACATTATGATGATAACTAGCTAGTAGCATAAGGGTTTGATTCAATTACAGTTCAACACGAACTCCTTTGGATTTACTACATGAAATTGATTTGTTGAAAGTAAAAGTAATAAGTAGTAATACTTCGTTAACTAGTTATGGTATGAATTTAGTTTCATATCTGCTATCTTTAGTTACCGATGACACAGTACACCCCATACATTATAATTTCAATACCAGTCTAGTTAAGAAATCAAGCCAGAAAAGACAAACGGCGTGTGTGGTTTAGCAATACTCTGCTCTTATCTGCCCATGAAGATTAACTCAAAAGTTGTGGTTGGACGATCTCCGAGGAAATATCACTGGTCAAACTGCTGTAGAGGCGCTTATCCTTTGCACGGAATGTAGTACTATTTTACAACCCATTTTTTTAATGTTATTCAATAGTTTTGGCCTTAGATTTTTCGTCCTTTATTTTATCTTACAAATATTGCTGAAACCACTCTCATTACTTCTCTCACCTTTTCTATGATGTATTGTACCATGCCCAAAATAATCACAGTTCATCGCTGGAGACCCAATATCACGCATCTCAAAATCGATCACAAGGCAATAGATACAATATTCCTTTTTCTCCTTCAATACACTATTACTCTAACTTTAATTACACAGTTTAGCCGAGTCATTTTAAATCATTCGTTTGTTGGTCAGCTGTTGATGGTATTTTATTTTTGCCCCTGTATTTCTCTTTTCCTTATGTAATTGGAAAAGTGGCAACTTGGTATACAATTGCTCCAAGTAGCATATCATAGGTCTGTGACCGAATGTCAAAGGTAGGTACTGTCGATTGAGAGTTGACAACATAATTCGTCTTCTACATCACTGAAAAGAGAAATGGAACCCTCTCTGTTGGAACGGAAACTAATATACTAGTCAAGAACAAATGTGTTGCAGGAAGAAAACGGATCCTACGTACAGTTCGAAAATTACACAGAGAATACCAGTTTACTTCGATGATATTTAAGCAAGTTAAAACGAGCACTCAATTAATTCACGAACATACAATGAACAGATGAGCTTTTTGAAGATGCACATCAAGAGGACATATTCGAAGTACTTACTACTTGTGGTGTAAAAAAAGGTTAACAGACATATGCCACAGGTGGTTCCTGGCTATTTGACCAGGATAGTTAAATCGTCCTTTAATGCCGAACCTATCATTTTTCGATCCAATGTGTAATTTACCAAATTATCGACCAACAAGTCTCCTAGATGTTGCTACCAAGTTTAATACTGGGCTAGCACCAACTGCAAATCTGCGAGTTAATTCACCTCCAACCCCTTCTCAAGTGTTGAACATGTAAAACGCATAGCAACGGAAGCGTTTTTATATTAGATAGTGGTTTACTTTATTTGGGAAATTTTCGTCACATTTTGTAACCCAATAGTTTCAGAATATCTAAATAAATTGCAAACTACGTTTCAGTGGCGGTTATAATGATTAGGTTTATTTCGTTTACCAAAGCCCCTAATTTATGGATCCCAATTTTGAGGTTATGTGAGTCTGATTTTTAAAAAAACTCCGAGAGGAAAGAGCTGATTGTTCGGGAAAATGACAGCTGTTGGCTTATTAGTTAGGGAGGTTGAACAGAAGCCAACACTATATATTAAGACTACATATCACTGAGTAGAACCAAGGTCTCGAGCAATATTCCAAATCTGAAGACCATATGGGACTTATCATTATGGTATAATGATCGGTGCCGATAACCAGATCAGATTCAGATTTGTGTAGTAAGGAGAGAAGGCCTACGGCCTATGTTATTCCTTTTCTAGTATGCTTCTGTGAGTGTCCAGTCTTCTCTTGAAAGAGTCAATTGAAGGTGCGGACACCACTGCTTCAGGCAGCAGGTTCCAAGTATTGATGACTCGGTGTGAAAACCTGTATGCCACGGGTATTTTGTTCGTTCTTGGCTTTTCTACTCGCCTGCTATGTCCTCTGAGGTGTCCCGATCTAGTGGGAAGAAAGAGAGAGAATAAATTAGGTCCGAAATCATTTCTCAGTATTCTGTACATCAATATTAGATCTCCCCTTAGTCTGCGATAGGACAGAGTAAAGAGGTTCTGTTTTTCAAGCCGCTCTTTATATGACAAACCTCGGAGTTCCGGAATTGCACGCGTAGCTGCCCCCTGTACCTTTTCTATTATGTCCAAGTCACCTTTGAAACAGGGGCTTGCAGCCTGAACACAGTTCTCTAGCTTAGTTCTCACTAAGGATGTGTATAATGTGGTGAACATGGTAGTGTGAAGCTTAGTGAATGTCCTTTTTAAAGCCCAGAGGGTTCGAAACCCCTTAACTGCGACCTCCCGGCAATGGGCCGTCGTCTTAAGATCATTGCTCACTGTCACCCCTAGGTCCTTATGAGACCGGACTACGGGTAATGACACATCCCCTATGTTGTACGTATTAACCTTTGAAGCGAAAACTTTAGGGTGAAAACACACACCGATTGAGAATGTAGATTTATACCAGGTTAATTGAAAAACTTAAACTACAAATCAGAAAAATGATTAAAAACGATGGAAATACATACAAGGAAAGTCCCGGCCCCAAACTACTGCACCGCCAAATCTGTTGCCGAAATTAACCTTGAACTTTCATTTCCTATTGGCCAATGAGTACATTACTAGGTACAGCAAGTAACTAGTCCCTAAAAGATACTAAAAATACACTATGTATGATGATTTTAAGAGACTCATTAGTTTTGTAAGGTTTATAATTTGTTCTTAGCATCTTACAGAAAACTATCCACTCAACAAGACATCTGCCGAGCGAATTCTAAAGATCACCAGAACTCCCAACTTCGAGGTCTTTTCAGTCACGGAAAAACTCCAAACAACGCGAAATGAAGTTACGGAGCTCTGTCAAACCCAAACCGTAGACGCTTCCGAACTCCTCGTAGGAGTTCTTCACCAAAACAATCTGTTTCTATATGACGAGAGACAGATAACCCGGCGAACAAAGCTGTCTTTTATACGCCACTGGTGTGATGACGAAAGTTCACTACCTGATCAACATCGACAAAGACGTTAGCGTTCTTCTCACGAATTCTGACGACCAACTGCAGGAAGTGGTTTTTAAACTTACATGCGGGAAATAGGAAAGTCGATCGCCATATATGGTAAGCGATATGCTTATCCCAACGTAGGTTTACGCAAACCCATCCACTGGATCTTCGTTCTTTCAGATGTTTCCATGCTAATCATTGACATATACCTGCTACAACACCATAATCTACCTATCGACACGCGCAAACAGAGCTCTGTAGACGAAAATACTAGTTTATCTGTTTGTGTAACTCATCTTTCCGGTTGTAGATTATCCCCAGCCACAGTAAAACACACGATAAATCCATACTGTCAAAAGTACCTGATAAGTACCCTGAGATTTACTAGACGCGACCGAAATTACCATGTGTAACCAGCAATGTTACATATCACATCACAACCACAGGACCACCTGCATTCACGAAAGCGCGCAGACTAGCTCCTGGGAAGCTTAGTTTGGTTGAAAACGAATTTGATCACATGACAGATTTAGAAATCAGTCGGCTATCAAACAGCTCGTGGGCACCTCTCTTGTAAATGGTGCCTAAAAAAGACAGCAATGATTGGCGTCCAGCTGGTGACTATCGGCGACTGAAAGCAAAACCACTCCCGATCGTTACCCGTTGACCCACATTCACGATTTGTCAGCTACCTTTAAAACTGCAACTGTCTTTTCAAAAATCGACTTGGTTAAAACTTATAACCGAATTCCCACGGCCACTGACGACATTCCAAAAACCGGTCTCTACAAATTTCGCGCATGCGTTTTGGCCTAAGAAATGCTGCCCAGACATTCCAAATGTTCACAGATGCTATTTTCTAGGTCTCAACTTCGTGCATGCGTATGTTGATGACTTCTTGATAGCAAGTTCGGACAGGGAATCGCATCTCCAGCATCTGGACCTTGTTTTTGATCGACTGCAAAAGCATGGCATTAGTGTAAACATTCAGAAATGCCAAATCGGAACTGACCCCTTAGATTTCCTAGGACATACCATTGATGCTCAAGGCATCCGACCTCTAAGAAGCAAAGTGACGGCCATTATGGATTATCTAGGACCGACTACCATCAAGCAATTACGCACATTTAACTGCCTTGTAAGTTTCTATAAACGGTTCATACCAAATTGCGCGTCACTTATGAAAACGCTAACCGACCACCTTATTGGAAATGCGAAATCTATCAGTTTGGACGATGTCGAAAAAAATTCTTCACAGTCAAGTAAATCACTGCCAAAGCAACAATACTCGCGTAACAGGACACCGGGGCACCCTTTAGTATCGCAGTAGGCACATCTGACTCGGCAGTCGGAGTCTTACAACAATGGGTAGACAACCCCCGACAACTTTTTCCACTCTTCTTGAGGCGTTTGCAATATACTGAATCGGGATACAGCACTTTCAATGGGGAACTCCTAGCCATATGTTCTGCTCTACGGCACTTCCAGCATTCTGTTGAAGGCCAAAAATTCACTATTTTCACTGATCACAAACCTCTCAGCTTCTGTAATAATAATAATAATAACATATTTCTGCAATGACAGGTACACGCCATTTCTAGAGACATGATCTATAAATTACAACATTTATTGTTTCACAGTATGCATGTTAAATAAATATTGTCTATAGAAGTGAATATCAGTTCATTCCTTCAGATATACTGAGCAATCTTCAAAATAGTCTCCAAAAAGGCATCGCATCCACGTTACACACGAGATCCAATCTCCGAATTATTGTGTTAGGATTTCGGTCGTTCTAAGTATTTATGCAATGCAACTTTTTTAGTTTATAGTTGTCATAAAGTAGACTTGTAGAGCGCTTGGTGTGAATTATGACCTTGGGAAAACACGCACGTCTAGTTTGTTCCAGATTTCAGAAGTTCCATAGTTGTGCCCTCAGAGAATGATTCCAAAGAAGAAGAGAATCCGAGGAACAGCAAGGCACTTGTAATATGAATGATAAACAATACTTAGCATTGTACAATGGAAAAGACAGAGGTATGATAAATTATTGTCTGATTTTTTTTTCATCTGATGCCTGCCACATAGTCTTAATATAAAAGTCCGAGTTAGCATGTTATAGGTTGTCTTAGTAGAATAGCTAATGCAGTATAAAATTGGAAACATGAGTCTGAATTGTGAGAGTGGGAGAACAACCTAAATGCCACAGATTGACTGACTTGTTGTCAAACATAAAGAGCCTGGTGCAAACAAGATGTTCTGCCCCACAAACATGGGTGGATTTAATTCATCACCCTCACCATCAATGCTTGCTGGTCAGTAACTCCTCCCTCTCTCCTTTTGTGATGCTAGGCTCATTTAAGCTTACTTTTTGGATATATATTGTAGGGCCAGTGAAACGTCACTGAGCTCTAGCCAAATCATCCAGCAGTTGGATCACTGAATGTCGAACAGATCATCGCTCCCTGCCAAGGTCATGTACAACCAACGCGCATTAGTTAATGGTATGTCATGGACTGGCCCATGCGGCAGTAGTCTTACTTTCGCTTGTATCTACCTTAACTGATATATTTCTGTAATAACGTCCTCTGTGTTGTACAGTCTTCGAAGCATCTATGGTACTTTGATACGTCAATGAGGTAGTCCACGTAACGTGCTAACCGCGAAGTGTGACTTCGACATTAGCCAGTTTGTCACACCATTCACGTCTAACTCGACTAGGCCTCCAATCATGTCGACATAGATCATCTATGTTGGTGATCTACAATATCATACTCCACACTATGCTTTGTGTTTCACATCCTGCTGGAAAAAAATATTTCTATAAGTACCATTTTACAAGTTTATCAGGAAGTTGCAAATTATGGACTGTGGGTGTAGGATCCAAACCACGTTTGGACTGCTGGACAGCTGCCTGGATAAGTTCGATACGCGCCCTCGCCCGTTTGAAACCAAAACAAGGCAATTGGGTAAGATAGCGGTTCTAAACAAATATTAATTGGTCAAAGTCGTTTGGCAATCGTTTCGTGGATTTTGGTTATCCTTCTTGAAAATATTTGGTCGTTTCCTACAGTTCTAAACAAATATTACTTGGCCGAAATCCTTTGGTAATCGTTCACGGATTTTCTGGAAATAATTGGTCGTGTCGCTTATAATGCCAGTTAATCGTCGTCGGAGATCAGGCTCAAAGTTCGTCGATGTTAACGAAGAATCCCCTATTGTCAAGCAAGTACCTTTTGATGTCCTTAAGGGTCATGGTTCAGACTTAAATAGGGTTAATTATCATGGCAGTGATTCTAGCCTTAATTCGATGTCAGATGTAAAAAATCTTAGTTTAAAGGAGGAGCAAAGGCCTGAATTACTAGGAAAGAGCATGTCGCCTATAGTTCATGTTGTTGGCCCAGAGCTACCAAAGGTTGAACTGAGTTATTTCGATGGAGAGCCAAGAGGTTATTGGAAATTTATAAGGCAATTTGAGACGTATGTAGCGTCAAGAGTCACGGATGATAGCCAGCGCTTACTCTATTTGATACACTACTGTAAGGGCAAGGCTAAAGCAGCTATTGAAGGTTGCGTCATGATGGAGGCATCCTCTGGCTATAAAAGAGCAAGGGAGATTTTAAAACGTTTTTTCGGACAGCCTCACGTAATTGCTCGAGAAACACTAGAGGACTTATTCAGTGCTGCGAATTTTGAGTATATTGACGGGGACCAACTATCAAATTTGGCTATTAAGATGGAAAACTGTGCCATGGTCTTGGAGCAGATGAATTATACTTCTGATCTAAATTCCTTAGTTACCTTGGAAAGAATAGTGAGACTCTTGCCGCAACCTTTGCAAGCCCAGTGGGCGGACTGGGTGGATAAATTGACTGAAGATAACAGGGAACCGACCTTCGACGAGCTCACTCAGTTTATCGCATCGCGTGCGAGAGTGGCTTGTAGTAGATTTGGACGGTTAGCAAACCGTTCAAGAAAAGGACATAACGTAAAGACGAACTGTCACGTGCAATCAGAGCAAGGGAATAGTTCGACAACGAAAACTAAATGCAGTATGTGTTCCTACGACCATGCTATTGATAAATGTCCACAGTTCTTAGCGCTTACAGTTCAAGACCGATGGTCTCACGCTAAAAGCAAGGGTATCTGTTTTGTTTGTCTTAGACAAGGACATAAGGTTAATGAATGTAAGATGACAAGGCTCTGTAACGTTGACAGTTGTAAGAAGAGACATCACGTTCTGCTGCACACTGACTCGACAAGCAACGTCGTAAATGATAAGCCATCATGCTCGGAATATAGGAAAAGAGTTGTTAATCATATCAGTAAGGTACAGACACTGGAGAACGAAATACGTAAGCTTTATGATGAGTTTTCAGATGCTTATTCAAGTGATAAATCATTATCAGTAGACGACAAGGGGGCTATAAAGATTGTGGAAGGGGGCACGCACTTCGGCGACGGTCATTTTGTAGTTTCTATACCGTGGAAAAAGAATCCAAATATGAAAGTGGATAATTATGAAGTAGCAAACCGTAGATTACAAAG